CAGGTCCCGTCTCGGGTTAGGGGAAGGGCTCAGGAACATTCGAGTGCAACCCCCAGACAGGACAAGGGGCGTCTGCCCCTCGTCAAAGGGGGGAAATACGCGATTGGCTATATATTGTAACCTATATCGACCGCATATGATGAAGCTTCCGCATATGATGAAGCTTCCCGTAGGTGATTTTTTTTTTAAATAGGTCCAAACAAACAAACGACCAAGTCTTTCCTCTTTATATTAACACTAGTGGCCGCCAGCGACATCGTCCGCGTTTTCCATAATTTCTTCGCTCCTAATAGTTGCAGCGTGATGTTATATAGCCTAAAGCCTTCCTCGATAAATGGTCTATTCAACACAAAAAGAATTGTTCAATTCGAACCAGTAGTTCCTGGGATTAGCGCGTTCAAACAAACAAAAAAACTCTTCAGCTTTAGAAGATTAGACATAATATATCTAATTATTTTTCATCGATTTTGCAATTTATTCTTTCACAATAGGGATGATGACTAATTTTTGTTTGTTTGTCCGTCAGGTAGAGTGATAAAAAATATTAAACACGTATTTTTTTATTTTTTTCGTAATCATAAAATTACGGCGTTACATTGATTTGAAATTTCGCATGACGTCACGTTATGGTACGTTTTCTACTCAACTGTGACGTAGCGAGCCCCCACTCCTCAACTTTAATGCCTGTTATCTAAGTTATTACTTGTTAATTTGAAGTAAAAAAAAAATACGTATATCATATTTTTCTATTATCTGACTGACGGACTAAATAGAATTGCATTTTTTCCCCAGTCATCATCCCTATTAAGCCGTTTCATTCATTTCATATGTACACATTTTTTTTTAATTTATTATAATATATTCACGCTATGTATTTATTTATCCTTCTCTATATTGCACCCACTCCCCATAGTATCTTTATTTTTTATCCATTTTCACTATAGGTTGCCTGAAAGAAATTGCTGTTCAGCAATAAGGCCGCCATTTGTTTACTCAATCTCTTAGATAATAAGCTTTTTTGTAAACTATGTATCATATTAAGTGCAATAAAGTATTTTATTATTATTATTATTATTTTATACTGACAAAAATTATTAATAATTGGAGAATCCGTCAGTCTTGTTAGATCCTGGGTAACTCAGTGGTAAGGGCAGTCGTCCGGATAGCAAGAGGTCGTTGGTTCAAGTCCGATCTAAGAGTGCCAGGGACAAAGTGGATTTTTCATTAAGAATAACTAATATCTCGCGTAAGGATGGTAGCATTCCGCCCGCGTGGTCCGCTGGTACCTAACTCATAGATCTAAACTCCCCTCCCGCACGCGCACCCCCGCCTCGGTGCCGTCCACTCCGCAACGGGCCGTGCAGCAGATATCGTAATATTTAAATTTCGCCATAACTTCAAAAGCAAACGTCCAATTTTAATCATTCAAAGACCAAATATAATCTACATAAACTGTACTTAGTGATGAAATAATTTATTTTGATAAGGATTAATAGCATGAGTGAAATAAACGCGTTTAAATGTAGTGCAAAAACAATTTAAGATTTTTAAATAAAAAAATGGTTGTTGTGCCTCACTCGACATAGATAGGTATAGTGTGTTTTTTGTAGTGGACTTTTTTGGAATTAATTTTTAATATCTACAATTAATTTAAACATTGTTTGGTTCTAACTTTTATAGTTTAGGCAGCTTACGCAAAATAAGTAACTTTTCTGGTTGATTTTTCACACCTTGTGTCCGAAAAACCCAAATATCATAAGTAACCCTATTTTTTTCCAAAATAAAATATAGCCTATGTTACTCGTGGATAATTAAGCTTTCGAATGGTGAAGAATTTTTAAAATCGGTCCAGAAGTTTTTGAGCCTATTCATTACAATCAAACAAACAAACATACAAAGTTTTAAACTTCTCCATTAAAATTATACAGTATTAAACTTCTATATTTAAAAGATCTCAGCGTACAGACAGCGGGAAGCGAATTTGTTTTATACTTAGTATAGATGAATTGGATCTCGCTTACGCAACGTTCTATATATAAGCATATTTATGACATACACACAAACAAACCGTTCCAGTATATTTCACGTAAACAACTGTCGTTGTTTATATGTTGTTCTTGGAAATATGGAGTGTAAATGTATCGACAGAACAAAGGGCATTGTTCCAATATTAATAAAAGTACCTAAAACATTGAGTATTCAAATTGACAAAAGTAACAATTATCCTATATTAGAAGCATAAATTTTAAAAGAATTTACAATAAAATAAACTCTTAATAACAAATAAATAAAATGGATGCCTGACCCTATTCTTTCCATCTATCTTATTACATGAATACTATTAACTGAAATTTATGTACATATTTAGTTTCTAAATCACATGTATGCAATGCAATGAGATAAATAAAAACTATAGGCGGACAAACAGATGAAAAACAACGAACAGGAACGTGTTCCAGGGCCGAGTCTAGGGTAGAACCAAGTGGGGCCGGTTGTCCCGGGCACCAGTGTCGTGGGTCGGGAAAAATAATATTTTAAATGCAGTAAAAAAAAAATAATACGACAAAATCCCTAAATTGAATCATACACTGCAAAAATATATATGCTCGCGGGTGTACGCAAGGACGCAATATCAAAAATCTGCCCCGGTAGGAAAAAGTTGTAGACCCGGACCTGACGTGTCAGATATTTTACAGGATATAATAAATAAATATTCGTTAGAAGTGCTGCTCAAAGTAACTTTACCACGCGGACGAAGTCGCGGGCGAAAGCTAGTGTGTATACACACACAAGCTTTTGCCCAAAGGTCAAAGTACGAAATTCTATTTGACTTTACTATGGTTCCAGGTTTGTTTTCGGTTCGCTGTTTGCCAGTGGAGCTAATGCAGTGGTTAGAGCACTCTACAATTAAATAACTTTGGCAGGGGCCAATCATAGGATGGGTGATCAAAAAATTATTATCACGAGCTCCTCCGTGCTTCGGATGGCAAATTAAGCTGTTGACACCGTATGCACCTGCAGTATTTAACACCCGCCAATCCGCACTGGGCTTGCTTGTCATACAAAGCCCATTTGATTCCATTCGTAGGAAAAGGCCTGCCCTATTAATGCCCCTGCAGGGGCATTAATAAATTAGTAATGTTGACGATAAAAATATTTGCCAGTCGGTCAATTATAGTACAAACCAGAGGATTCACAAATTACACTAGCACACATACAAAATGTGGCATGTTTGCGTTCGATGTTTTACAAGAGATATTTTTGTTATTTTGCAATACCATCCAAGATCTTGGTGACTTTTTGTTACTTTACAACTAGTGAGTATATTTCCATACATGTTTCTAACAATTTACTAAACAGATTAAAGATTTTTTGGGTTTCTCTTTATTTTATTATCATGGCCTTTTTCGATTTCACCAGGATTAATATGAAATGTATCATCATTTGATAATTTTGCATTGATATCATACAAAATTATTAGAAAACCAGTCAAAGGTGCCTGTAACAAGATGGGAATTGGATCCATCACTTATCAATTATACTGCTTGCACATATGTACAATGGTAGAATTAAAGCCATAGACATTTTCTCCTCCTGTAACCTATGTAGAATGGATAAAACATTATTTTAAAATAATTTGTTGATGTTAATAATGACCTTTTGTGTGTAAGCGAGATTCCTTATAATGATTATCTAAGAACCAGTTAGACAACACACACACATACAAATTCAAGCATCTCAATAATGGTGATAGTACACACAGCCATAAATGGGCCACCATTTGATGTTTACATCCTCAGTCATATGACTCACATTTACAATAATTTATTTTGTTGAATAACAATGCAATTGTTGTCACTTCAACTAATTCACCTATGTAAACCGGACAATGCATCAAATAAATACTTTAAAAACATATAAACATACAGAAAAGGAACATAGTAATTTATTTCTTTTAAAAAAAAAACACATTGTTTATCTAAATGGATGGGTTTCTAAATTGATAACAGCACATATGGCCATATTTAGGTAAATATTAGATATGTGTCATATTTTTATTAGGTATTTGGTATTAGGCTTCTTTTTCATTATTCATATTCAGCGGAATTATTTAGTATTGGTGTCAAATATATTCAGTTCAAGTATTTCTTTTACTTGATTATACAACACAGTATAGAGCTAAAAGAAAAAACTTCTTATAGAAGACTTATGTTACACTATAAGTCAAAGAAATTCAATGAAGAATGTGTTCAATAAAGCTAATAGAATTAAGCAATGAACTTCAAATCATAAATACTTTTAATGAAAAACACTTAAAAAATCGACCAGCCCCAAGATTTCTATATATATCTATATAATATCCAGTTCAGTAAAAGTTAAACTGAATACTATTCACTATTCAGTGAATCTCTAGTAAAAATTGTCAATTACTTTTTACTTACATTGAATTTATGTGAGTATTTAGGGATATTAATATGTCTTAAATTGTTTGATTGAGAGTGTAGTTCGTATTCCACTTTACTTAGATATTATGATGTAATAACAAAGTTGTTTTAATAAATACAGTTGGTTAAAATAACTTAAAACAAAGTTTAGCCTTAAAACAGAAACTTTTTTTATTTCCATTATATTTTTCAGAAAGATTGACTATATAGTAAAAAGTCTAACAGTCTTAGGTATAAATCATAAACCAAACTTTGCCTCTTTTGCTATACAAATGCAGATATTATTTTGAAAACTTCTAAAACAAAGAGGTGCCGTTTGTAGATAAACGGCTGATAAATAAACTAGCAAAAATATTAAATAAACATATGCTGTTTCAAAAGGCTGTAGGTACTGTTAAATATTTTTAATAAATTAATTTTTAAATCGATTAGGCAATAGGGTATAAGTTGTTTGTATTTTATATTAACAAAGTTTTAAATTTAGTGCGTTCTTTGAATTCAACTGGTGCGAATATTAGATAAATTGGCTGCTCAATAAGTTTTAACAAAACTTACCGATATGTAAGAAATATCCGTTGTCAAAATAATAATCACAAAACACTAAGATAGTAGTCACTAAGCAATTTCTATCACAATTATTCACTCACGAACCCACTGGCCCTTGTCACATAATTGTCTTTTAACCATAAGTCACATTTAATTGACTTCGTAACATAAATGGAAATTTTTATCGAAACCTTTCCTCCATTCCAACTTCTTTCGATTTCAATGAATGAATCAATCAGAATGAGACAGATAGATACACAATGTCATGTCAGTGATACGATACGGCCACGACGAGTGAAGTTCTGGGGCATATATTATAATAACGTCTAGTAGGTACGCGCACTAGGTATTTTTCATTACTACTAATATTTCTCTTTGTAGTACCTAGGCTTTTGATGTCGAATATGTTTTACAATATCAATAATTAGGGACTGTCTGCATCGCGATTTTCGCGCGGATTTATCTCGCAATTACATAACATCTTGTCCGCATTGCGATTATAATTCCGCGCGATTTGTTAGTTTTAAATATGTAGCTCCCGGTTGAGACAAAAGTCTAAAAAACCAGCCAAGTGCGAGCGAACCGGAAACGAGCACATCATCCCGTTTGATGTATAGGAACCCTTAAATATTTATTTTATTCTGGTGTTTAACTTTCACGGTTCTTAAGATACAGATGTATGACAGACAGACAGCGAAACCTTAGTAAAACGGTTTCCGTTTTACTCTTTGGATACGGAACCCTAAAAATTAACCACAGAACAATTTTAATTTGTTAGATTCAATTCAACGTTTATTTCTTCCCACAACCATGTTTTCAAATGACTATCATGGTAGTTTGCCTGAAATTTATCCAATAGGGGAGGCCTATTTCGAATTACCATTATAATTATTTCAATATCAATTTTGTCATTTTCGGCTGTTACTGAATAGACGGTAGACGAATCGGGTAACTTTCCACTGATAGTGTTGATGCACGACTGAGCAATCGCAAAAATCTGTAGTTTAGTAAACACGATTTTTTTTCCCGTGCTATTTTTTCCGGGAGCGCGGATATTCCCATATGATTCAATGCGTTACAAATTGTGATAATAAATGTCCACGAAATAAAACCGCGATGCGGAATTATAATTTAATGCCTTAATTATAATTAAGGCTTTAATTATAATTAAGGCGTTATTAGTTTGTTTTTCATATCGATTCTTTAAATAATGATCGAATGAAATACAATTATTGTTTCTTTGTAAACAATATCAGCTGCCTTACAGCGTTATTTAGTGACAGTCGTCAATTGCCAACTTGAACTTACCTCCGAGACTGAGAGGTTCGCACCCGAACATGACCCGAAAATTAGCTTTTCTATATTTGTCTCAGGTCTAGGTGTTGTGTTACCTTCGTTGTTTCAGAGTGCTATAATATGTGCTTTAGTTACATAATTTAAGGTCAGAGCAATTTATGTGATTTTGTATTTATTTATATAAATTTACCTAGAAGAAATACTTCGTGTACTTGTTTCGTACTAGGTGAACATATAAAATACCTCGTACGGGCGGGACTGTCTGTGACTATCGCACGACAGAGTGGGACAGAAAATGACGATATTATGAATGAATGAGCTGTACGGGAGTCCATTGAAATGAGCTAGTACTTTTTTAGTATAGTGATGCGACGAAAAAGAAAAAGATAAGTAGCTAATAATCGATTAAAAAAAGAACAAGTGAATGCGACTCACTTCATTTATTCACAAAAATATACATCACGTAACAGACTTCATTACATACTGATCTATATTAGTATTAAAAATATGAAAGTAACTCTGTCTAAGTTACTTTCATATTTCATGTCTGTTGCATTTCCAGGTCTAAACTATTTGTCCAATTTTAATAAAATTTAGTACAAAGATACAATATACATTGGGAAAGGACATAGTTTTTATCACGAAAAATAGACTCAAGGGAGTGCTTGAAGAAGGATAATAAACGAATTCCAAGCTGATGAAGTGGCGTGCGAAAAAGCTAGCTAAATTATAATTACACATACATAATCAAAATTATTTTAATTCTATAATTTATTATTATAAAATATATACTGAATTGGTTTTCTAGTTTTGTATAAGTTATGAACATGCATAATTTTAGAATGTATTCACATTGATATTTTTTTTTAAACACAGAACTCATTTATAGATCTTCTTCTTCTTTTATTAATGGCTTATCTACGCGTTTGGCAGAATTCTGCCAATTTCCCAAGGAAAAAAAAAGTTATTTATCTTAATGCGGACCTACATACATATCTATAAAAAACGTACCTATGCGTGCAAGAGTCAAGTTACGTGTGTAAAAATCAAAGATCTCTACATGAACGATAAATCGACAATGAAACCATTGTTTATAAATATAGTTTACTCGCGTGTGAAGTATGATATCAATAATTCAGAATCAGAATTTTGTGACAATTTGCCACTGTTAGTCTTTAATTTAAACCTAAAAGTGGAATACCATAGTTATAAATTGAGTTATGAATATTATTGGAAGATTCACAAAAGAGATTTTTATTTGTCAATAATAATGTGAATTAATTATTTATAATAATGTACTATCCAGAAAGGGCAATAATTCTGTTTCAAATTAGTTTTAACAAGCGGTTTCTTAAGGATACTCTGAGTAAAAATGGATATTTTACTAGAAAAATGATATCTCCCGAAAGTCTTTTAAACTAAACATAAAAGATCCCTACTGTCTTTTTAATAATAATACTGTGTAATTCAGATATAAAATGGTTGTGAGAATTATTTTTTATATCGTGATATCATATTTTTTAATGGAGTTTGTAACGAATAATAATCTGGAATTACCTGATTATGAATATTATAGTGACAGGCATACCGTGGAGAAACCTTCATTACGAGAAGTATTTCTGGAAAGAAAGATTAGAAACCGTGTTAAAAAAACGAGAATGAATCTGCTGAATAAATACTTATCTGAAAATACGGTTTATTTAAACGGAGTACCTCACGTTAAGGTTAATGAAGGAGATAGCAGTTGGAATAAAATAAATCAAATAGAGCTCGGCATCAAAAGTATTTTGGCAGCAGTTGGAGTTAGTTATGTTTACAAAAGAGACCATTATTGGAGAACATGGAAGAGAGTGATTTATCCAAATGGAATCACGAATATTGTATGTTACAGATGCAACAATATTATTAATGCTACTTGTAAAAAGTGTCCTGGATTTTGGGTTAGTATTCAAATTATTATGACAAGATGATGAGAGTTATGGTGATTATGGGTTATATATGTATAACGTATACAATGAAAGGGGTTTAAGAGCGTCTTTTGACATGACATGTGATCCCGATCTCGCAAGGTAAGGTTAGTCAATCCTGGATATACAAGTTTTCCTTACAGGGATAAAAACTTGATATTGACGTCTATATAACCTAAGAGCCAATCACCCCAGACCTTCGTCATTTTATAAGAGATGAAAATTTGTCTTATGATTTCTTTTTTGATTTGCTTCAGAATATCGTTAAAAATTATGTAATTCAATGCCTGACACTTTAATTTAGTATACAAGCTGATTTTTATAGGTATGCATTGCTTGGATAATAACTAGATAATGTTTCCACAACTAGACAGTTTCGAAAGTACTTTACCAGATAATCATATATAGTAGCAAAGGTAGGTTAGCTTATGAACTTTTAGAGGACTAGACTTAGTACTCTTGCAGATTTTTCTGAAAACGGTTATTGGTTTCGTTTGATCTCACGATTATCCAGCGCGTAACACCAACCAACACCATTGATCCCGAAACTATTTCCGTGTTTTTATTTGTGAAGTTTGTTGCCCATCTGGATTTTGTGTATCGGAAATAATATTAGTAGTTTCGTTCGTACCTGGATAGGGAACATGCGCTAAAGAATAATGAACGGGCTCTTACTCTAATGCTATGATTGCCATGTTTGATAGTCTCCTCATTGTTTGAAATTAATTTGTTTATGTAACTCACGTTGGTAAAATGAATGGTATATTCTTCGAGATGGAATAATAAGGACCGCATCAAACTGCCGCCGCGTGTTTTATCCGGCACTGACGTCAGCAATATTTGTTCATCCATTACTAGCTCATCTTCATACACGGACTTTATACAGCCTTTGAACGTATTGTACACAGATCATAATGTCGTTTTAAGGCGTACTTGACGCGTTTTTCATTTTTACTGGTGTCTAATATTTGTATGCAATATTGTTTTAATTTAGAGTATAATGTATTTAGTATTAGTTAGTGGTGGTGGCGTAGTAGATAAGCGCTGCGGCCCGCGATCCTTGTTGTTAAACAACTTTCGCAAGGGTCAGACACGGAATGGGTATACCAAAAAAAAAATTATCTCAAGCTACTCCGTGCTTCGGAAGGTACGTTAAGCCGTTGCTCCTGGCTGCATTTGCAGCCGTTAATACCCTCCAATCCGTATCGGACCCGCGTGGAGAGTTATGGCCCACCCTCCATAAGCATCCATAAGGAAGGCGAAACCTTGCAGTGAGGCCGTTAAAAGGACTGATTATGATGATATAATTTATTTACTAAATTGAAAAAAAAAACAATTTAAATGTCTAAATTGCCTGTATTACCTTTATTTAAACAGAGCATAGAAGAAGAATCACCACCATGCCCTTTAGAATTATTCTCCGTAAAAAGCCCCACCCATGTTTGTGCGGCTAATTATAGCAACATTTACAACTACACTGATGCCTGTCCTACCGTTATAAACTTCGCCGATGTCATGAGCAGTTGCGATAATCCTATCACAACAAAATATCGCATCACAAGATTATTCAAAGAGTCTAAAGGCTTACCAAGTGTTATCTGTGGAAAATTTGACTACTGCGAGATTTCAACGTTTTACAGGGTTTGTAATTAAATAAATAGGTGGATGTACACGGCTACACGTCAGATTACACCAATATGTCTAATTTCTCCAATGGATTTTGATCTTTATCCACAATTTATTATGGTTTAAAATGGAGTGGGAAATTTGACAAATTTTATGTTACCTGAAGTGCTGTCGATAAAACCTTTATGGTTAAGGGGAGCGACCACCTAACTTTCTAGCCTTGATCGTTTCCATAGGATATGCTGTCTTAAGGATATTATGGCGATATTTCAACTCATTTTCCTACTTTGACAATATACTTTAGTAACGACGAACGAACTATAAAGAATGACGATTATGGATTTCATAGCAGTGCTTCCAACCTAATAATTTATCCCAAACGAAATATTATTATAACATCGCTAAGATGTCCTATCCTATTGTTAGAATCAAAACTACAGGGATAGTTGGTCACACCCCTGATCCTGCTGGTGACTTCACCTGGAATATTAAAACACGAGGTTTTATAAAAAAGGCAGCCAATATCCATAACTTTATATTAAAGATGTTTCAAAATTTATAGAGTCTGGAACCTAAGAAAAACATTAGCACTTCAGATTACCACAATATGTCACCACAGTTGATTTTATACTCTACCCTCAATTTATTAAAGTTTTAAATCAAGTAGAAAACTTGCCAAATAAAACCAAAAACATACAGAGGTAATGAATACAGTTAATATACAAATAAAAAAGGAACATTACAATTGCTAAATATAGATAAACTTATAATCATACCACATCATAAATCTAGATACCTTTTATACTTAATACATTTCGTACAAACGTTCTTTCATCACGTTAAAATATTAAGAATAAGTTATTTAAGTTAAGTGTTAAGTTACGACTTTATAATGTAATTTAATTTTGTCTCATTTACAGATATACAAAGATTTTATTTTGTTTAGAATAATTGACTCGAACAATGATATAATATATTCAAGAATAATGAAATATGGAGACAATAACTATGCATGTGTCAAAAACTGCGGTCGCACTAAAAGTAATAACGATACTGATGATAAACCTTTATCGATTAGCTTATTGTCAAATCGTGTAAAAAAACGCGAAAGCAAGTTACACAAATTAAGTTCGTACAACACTACGCCAAAAACATTTAGACAGACAAAAAAAAATATGCCCATAAAAAAAACCGCGGGAAAAAAGAAAATGGAGACAAAGAATTTTTCAGAGTCCATGACAATTTTAAGCCATAGTGAATCCTTAAAGAAAACTATACTATCATTGCAAGAAACATTGGAGAAAATTAAATCTAAGTATTTTGTGAGTGCTGTTACTGAATCAACTTGTTCGAAGTTAGGTAAACAAGCTACGAAAGAAGACTCTGAAGAAAATGATGTAGAATAAATTATTATAGTTTTAAGTTGGATATAATAACTTTTTGTACGCAGAGATTTGAACTCTAGAACATTTTAATATTTGTTCATTATTTTTGATGTGTACTGCTTATACGATGTACGATACTTATTGCGTACCTAAGTGCATAAAACCCTAATATAAAAAATTTACTGTCAATTCATGTAAAATACAAATAATTGTTGGTAGGACTTCTGTAAAACGAAATAAATTGTGTAGTAGGTGATTTTAACTCCTTGTTACGATCAAAAACGATTCAGATACAGGACTGACCAAACAGATAATAACAAACTGCTTATTCAAGACTGGGTGTTGATGGTCCGTATGGTAGGCGTGGGCGTTGAGTAAACGAACCGTTTATTGAGTATCAATAGGCTAGTTTACGGTCTACGGAAAAACTGGTTTATGTGTGAACGTAAGTTACGTTGCTTGAATAATCCAACGCACCACGAAAGGTCTGCAAGGAGTCTTATAAGTATATATCTCTCTGTTCTTCGCAATCCACAGATTGCTATTTGCAGGGGTCGGAAACCGGTATATTTTTCGAAACGTTTTCATCTTAAATACCTAAAAGACACTTTGTTTCGGTTTCGTTCGAACAGAACGATATAAAAAACGATTTTGGAAAAAAACAATTATATTGTTTTCGGTTAATAAAACGTTTTTAACCATTTATTTTGCGTTTTTTTTCATCGCATACTGTAAATAACGTAATAAATGTACGCCGCCCTTACAGCCCGCGCGGCACCGTCTTGCGGATTAAACCGGTTTTTTAAAGCGTTCTCATTTCGATTTCGTTTCGAACGCAATCTTGCCCAAAGAACCATAAGAAACGTTTTAAAAACTATTAAGTTTAAGTAGGTACACAACAAATTTTGTTTATTAGCATCGGAGTATTTTTGAGTACTAATTTGCGCATTGAGTACAATTTTTTCCTGTAAGAGTAAAAAACCAATCAATGTTTACGTATGGAAATATTTTATTGTTTTTTTTTTACCAAAAATATTTGTTTTTTTTTGCTTTTTCACTGTTTTTTTTTTTTGATTGTATATCGTTTATACTTTAAATAAAAACTTAAATCAATAAGTAAAAAAATTTGCGAGAATGATTATTTTGTTAAACAATTTTAAATCGTTATATATCCTAAACTATTATTTAAAATGAAAAATGATAAAAGGAACCTACAGATGATTTTAAAATACCTATTCAACGATACCCCACTTGACATAGTTCGTTTTTTTTTTTTTTCATTTTGACAATATGGCGCCTGGTTGTCGCTGTAGTGAATTTTGATTACTGTCATGTCTTTAGTGACACTCGCAAAGTTAAGACGAATCGATTGACGTAAGAATCCTCAAAATCGGCCTACGTATTTGGTCTCTAGAACGCCACATAGAAACATACATACATAGACTGATAAACACATTACCCTCCTTTGCGTCGCGCAGTCGGGTAAAAATCATGCAGTAGCGATACTAGTGTTACACGTATCTTTGTCAGAATGAAATAAATATACTAATGTAGTAATGAAAGAAAGGGATGGGTTTCAAGAAGGCATCAACGCGTGCTGCATTTTTATAAAGTAACCTTTAATTATTGTCCGCAATAACTTGAACTCGACATAAAAATACAAACAAAATTTACATTACTTTATTAATTTCTAAGAGTTCAAAATCATCTGCGGAAATTCATCATTTGTGGTAACGTGACGTGCAGCCGTGTGCACTGGTGTACATGCTTACAAATAATCTTCGAACTACGCAGTGCTGCATCCTATAATGGCTGATTTACACGTAATTAAGAAGTAGGTAGATTGTTATCTTTTAAATGATTAAGTACGTGTAAACACACAAATATGCTCAAAGCACAAATATGTAATAAATAAAAAATTTGGTACCTAATTATGAATTTGAAATTAGAATACATTTACTACTTAAGTGTAATCCAGCCATGATAACTTTCAAACGGATAGGTAGGTAAAATAAACAAAGAAAATTATGTAGTTTCATAGACCTTTACTGTCAGTATAATAAATTTAAACCTATTCATAATAGTGTTTTAAACTGCCAAAAATTTATACTTTAACATCTCAGTACGTAAATAAAATTTAACAGTAATAACTCATGACATGAGACTACATCGAAGTGTTCGTCAGTCCAGCACTCTTGGATTTCGAAATATATTCATAACTCATCAAGTAATACGGACACTAAAGATTTAGCTATGGCTACAAGCTGTAGCTAAAGGTGTCAAAAGAGTAACTAAGTCTTTCCAGTCCTTTCATATGAGCATTCTGGCAACTGCTATTCCAATGTTGAACATTGGCAATATTGCCAAACTGTAGCCAAATCAATAATTGCAATATGATAATACATATAAACTATTTTAGAGAGTGTAAATTTAATCAGACATTTGTTTTGTGCATTATTTTGTCATAATGCTGAAATCACAATAACATCCTAATGAGATATAACTATATGACATTTTAATATTATTATTAATTTTAAAATCCCTTTCAATTTCATATTCGAAAGCTGTTCACGAACTCCATGCTACTATTATTTGACAAGCGATAGCGAACGCGACGTTTTTGAAAGATATCAAATACATAATTTTGCATTTGAAATTGTCATTAAAGTTGTCTATGGCAAATGTTAGACGCAAATATTACTTAAGAGAAAATGACGTTTTTTTAAGTTTCTTGATCATTCAAATCATTATTAGTTCTAAAAACGATTGCAACATTAAACATGTAACATTTATAATTTTATAAATATCTGTCACAATCACTATATTCTTGATAGGTATTGCAGTAGATATTGAAATTAGACAATTAGGCTACCGGGCAAAAACACAGATGGAAATAAGGCTAATGCTAAGAAACTCCACATTGTCATACATAGTAAAAACAAAAACACTTGACAAACAAATAGAAACATACGAATCAGCTTCTGAGCATTTTTATATAACCTTTCCTTTCTATTAACAAGCTCCTTCGACACTAAATATACAATTAACAGCTTGCGCACATGGCTACATGTCAGTTTACCACAATATGTCAAATGTCTACAATGGATTTTGACCTCTACCGTCAATATATTAAGATTTAAAATAGACTGGGGAAATTTAACAGTTTTGTATTAACATGCTTTACATGCATACATGATATTTAGATAAATAAAGGTTAATAAAATTTTGTTTGATATAAATCTTACAATATTAAACAGTTCAAAAACAATTATATATTTTAATGTGTACGTTTTTAAATAGGTATATGGTCCCAACAACTTTTCTTACAAAAACACTTTTTCACACATTATGATAACACAAAAAACTATCATTTAAGGCACAATTTCTTTCAGTCTTTAATTTGTGCTAATTTAAAAAGAAAATACTTAAACTAAAACAGATATTAACCATCTTAATATTAAACAATTCCATCAAATTTACACAATATAGTTTTTTTACAATAACTAACTAATAAATACTTTGTTTCATGCAAAAGTGTGTAACATTATAATAAATGGAAGACTGTTTTGGCTATAGACTAATTAAGATGACTTATCAATGGATGTTGTATCATACAATGCAATAGACTTATTGTGGTTGCACTCATGTCATCAAGCCTACTCATTGGATCCAAAAGCTTCAATTTTGTATCAATTTGCAATAAAAGCAGCTCTCTCTGTAAAAATTTGTTAATACTATCTACGTAATATTAATTCTATTCAAAGGGCAATATTTAGAAATGTCTACTCCAGAATAGATTTATGTGGCTTTTAAAGCTGTACCCTTGCAACTCCTTCTTACTTTCTTACCGCAACGATGGTCCGTCATCTGATAGTGTCTATTAAAGCTCCGTTTACATATATCACATATAAATTTACGAATATTCAAATGTCGCTCTCTAATGTGGTTCGGGAGGCTCTTCTTTAACATTTCTTTATTGCAATAATCACAAATCGCTTTAGAATACTGTGACTTATCGTTACATCCAAATACGGAGTTTACATAAGTTATAAACTTATCATTTTCATCGACTTCTTGTTTCACTTCCTTCTTGAATGTTCCACATTTCTTTATACTTATAACGTTGTTATTGATCTTTGTCATTTGTACACATACATTGGATTCCAAAACTCTTTCGACCCATGTTTCGTTTATTGGTTTTTTGATGATAGATTCATCTTTTTGTTGGAGATTGAAATGCTCTTTCCTTATATGATATTTGAGTAATCTTTCCTCGCAATATTTGGCACCGCAAGCTCTACAATTGTAGCGTGGTCGAATATATACGTTGTTGTCTTCGTGAATGTGTAAATGTGAAATGAGATTTCTCTTATCGACAAAACTACGATCACAATAGTCACACACGAAGACTTTTGTACGTCCCGTGTGTACTTCCAAATGTTTTTCGTAGACATCTTTTCTGAAATATTGTTTGCTGCAGTACAGGCAGTCGTAACGAGGAGGCACTTGCTTGTGTTGATACAAATGCGCTCTGAAGCAGTAGGAGTTTCCAGATATTAGTTTATTGCAAACATAACAGGGACGTTTGTTCTTGGTTGTTTGTTTCCCAACAGTATCTTGACCCATTTTGTAAAATTAAATAATAACGAAAACTAAAAGAAACAAAATCAACAATCTTTGTTTGACACAATAAAATGTCAATGTCATTGTCGATCAAAATATGTTTTTTTTTCTTAGGGCCAATTTTGATCCGTAGTCAAATGTCATTTCACCATTTGTTAACTTGACTATAGTTAAAACAATAACAAGTTGTTAACTCGCTATTTCGTTTTTTGATGCCAAATTTAACCATAGTCAAATTTAACCACTGGCCAATTTGTTGCCAGCACAATGAGTCGTTTTTTCGCTATACATTGACATGGGTAATTTTTTTCTGGGTGACAACACTAACGGTTTGAATGAACGGAGCGAACTATATACCATTTTTGACATTAGGATTTTGTTCTAAAGATCAAATAGACGAAAGAAATCTATAGATTATCAAACAGTGTGGATGTTTATGGTTGTTCTGTTGTGTGCACTATATGTTATTTTTCAGAAAATATAAGGCAATTTGTTTAATAATGTTAGAAAGCAACAAAGATATGTTTTTTCCAGTTATTTTAAACTTAACTTTTTTATAAAAAGCATATATTTGTTTTTTATTTATCTTATAGAGAAATACGTGAAAAGAATATAGTATATAGTATCCAAGGTGGGATTGTAATGTTGGAAAATAAATCGAGGACTAAGTATTTTATTTACTGTAGGCATATTTACCTTTTGTATTGTCTATTCGTGGAATTTATAAGATTTTTAATAATTGAATGATTTGGCATCTGCCCGTGGAAACAAGAGAAATTATTTCTATATAGTACAGATATACTAAGGATGATCAAGAATAAAAATATAACTTATTTTCAATAATCCTATAACCAAAAAATGACAATTAATATTTTCCTATGAAATTGCATCATAAAACGAAATCCCAAAAATAGCTTATGTACAAATTCACTATGAAATCATGTAGGTTATAAAAACAACGTAAAAAACAATAACAAGGGACCAAGTAAATACAACGCAGTTGTACATCTGTTCTTTTAACAATTGGTCATTTACTTAACCTAGCTTCCAGTGATGGTTAAATTTTTTGACAAATGGTTGTAATTCTGACAATTGGTTAGGCTAACTATTAATCAAAAAACATATTTTTCTGATATTTAACCATTTGTCAAAGATTTTAACAAATGGTTGAGTTAACCACGGATCAAAAAACTGGCCCTTAGAAAAAGATCAGTCCACCGTGCTACCTCCTCAATGTTGAATCTTTTTGTTGAAAATATTCGTATAATTTTGGGTAGCAAAGAAATTTATGTTCATATTTCCATAGCTATATTTCAACTTAATAAAAAAACTCGTTAAATTAATCTATTGAGTTGCAATAATCTATTAGACTTTTATTATGTATACAAGTTATGTATAGTTATGTATACGATTCAAACAAACAACGGCGATTATTAAAAAAAAGACATGGTCACCCCAATAGGAATCAACAACCAAAAAGCGCTGGACAAGTCGCTCACTGAACAGTACAATGGCACAACTCAAAAACATAATTTCGAGAAACGCTCTCCGAAGTTATTAAAATTTAATGTATTTATAATTTTGAAAATTATTTTTTTTAGCATAACAGTTAAATCGTTTGTATTTTTAGTGTTAAGTTTTTTATTTTTTCTTTAACTTATCTATGGGATGCCACCACAATGTTATGGCATTTTCTCGAAATAATGTTTTTTGAGTTGTGCCACTGTACTATTCAGTGAGCGAAGTATGTTTAAACAATCAAAAGCGAAAGTCGACTTCGTGCCCGAGTGATTTCGTCGACTTTGTGTTAGTAGGGTGAGCATAAATAAGGACATTTTATAAAAACCTTTTATCTACGATGTTTGTAGGTTAAGAAATGAAAAATTAAAACGTTTCTATAATCTGTATTGCAATAACAAACACAGTGGTTAGGCATTCAAAGTGTACTTGTTAAAATTTTTGTATATTTAACTTCAGGTTAAAATTCAACTTCGGGTTATTATAGGCAACAAAATAATAAGAAATGAAACAGCCTCAATTAAAACAAATAAGTTTAATACTATTTTTAAGAAGTATTGTTAAATAAAATAATTTAATTACATTAATAACAACAGAATTTCATTTAATTTGACCTGTAATTATGATAGTAATGAGTGACTGACAGTCGTATATATAGTCGAGAGAAGTAATTACTTAATACCATAAATTCGGCAAATATTTTTAATAAATAAACAAGAATTTAAATGAAGTACTGTCAATAGCTAATAACAATAGTATTGTAACTTTTGAGACTTAAATCAAATTCTTGTTTATTTGTAAAAGTAAAGTATTGCTTAAATTATGACATTTTCTCAATTACTTCTCTGGGCTATGGATACGACTGTTATTGGCGAAGTATAAGTCTGACATGTGCAACTAGACATCATATTAGCACTGATTTTATATCGAAATTAAGGTCATATATATAGTTCAAGTCAAGTCATCTGTGCGCGAGCCGCCATTTTTGCATCAGCTTGTAATGACACAGCTTTCATTAGTGTGACAGTGACCGAGTGATAGATGCTTCAGTTATCATCCGAGTAACATGTGTTCTTATCAAACATTCGTTATTGAAAATGTTATGTTTTTCACCAAATTATTTTTTATTTAGAATCGGATTTCGTGATTTAATCTTGGTTGAGGGCAGCCTGAAAATACATAGTTTGATCCTAGCAGCGATTCTGGGTAAAAAGTTCAACGAACATATTTTTAAGAATTCATATCATACAATCATAGTAGGTCACTATAACCTAGTTTTAGAACAAAAAAATCTTTACTAATCTACAACGGGTACAGATCCTCACAGTTATTCTTTTTCATTTTTATTACTGTATTTGTATTTGTCTGTACCTCTTGTCACGCACATAAATTCACTGTATACGTACAAGGATTACTTATCCACACATACCGCCGCACGCACAGATGTGTTGATCTAGGGGCGCCGCCAGGTGATGGCCCGGGGAGGGGGGGGGGGGGGAAGTTGATAAGTATACTGAATTGTAGCTAAAGTTGAATGCCTATGAAGTTTTTTAATTGTAGTACGAGCCTTAGATCTACGGCAATTGTTATAACAACAGTACAGAGTCCAATACGTTAAGTTACACGAGCTGACTACAGAATAAATAAAACTTGTAAATAAGTGCACCATGACCTTTCGCAATCCCATCTCAGAGTGTCAGGGACAAAGTGGATTTTTAAACATTTTTTCATTCATAATATTTTTCAGTGTAGCATTGTGAATACATTTATTAGAAAAATACCTATAATAAGACTAATTTGACGATTCGAATGTACACCACTCCCCTTCTCCCGCTTTAAATAAGCTCATTCGAGTTTCGGTGAACAGGAATGATCGATCAAAGCTAGTGAAGTCAAAGACTTGGGACTCGGTTGTTTTACATTAGGGAACTTTTTAGAATCTCTAGTCCCCTAGAGATTCTAAAAAGTTCCCTATGGGGGGGCAGCTACACCTTCTTACTCCATTAGATCTTACTATAACATTAAGTTGCGTCTTGTTGATGGTTGTGTATAGCGCGAGAGTGGCCATGTAAAGCAGCTTGTTGAGCGAATCTCGCTGGACAACGGGTACAAGCGAACGGTCGCTCACCAGTGTGGGTGCGGAGATGATTACACAGAATCTTGTTAGTCTGTCGACAAGACGATCACAACGACATAATATTATGATTGATTTCTTTTAACTAGGTGGCGCAGTGGTTTCTGGGGCTCGGTCTGCGATACGGCTGTGAAGCAACTTTCTCAATGGTCGGTCATGGGATGGGTGACCGAAAATTTATTATCTCGTGAAGGCGCGTTAAGCCGTTAGTCTCAACTGTACAGTTGTTAACACCCGCCAATCCGCAGTGGCCCTGGGTCCTAGTGATGGGTCATAGACCATTCCCCTATTTGATTTCATCCATATGGGGAAGGCCTGCCCCAGCACTGGGGGCATTAACATGCTGGTAATTATGAGGATAAAAATTATCCCTATCCTATTCAAATCTGATGACCTCCGTAGCAGAGTGGTTCGCACGCCGGTTTCAAGGTGCCATCTGAGGTCCGAGGTTCGAGTCCCGGTCACTCAATGTAGAAAATGAACTTTTCTATGTTGTCTCGGGTCTGGGTGTTGTGATACCTTCGTTGTGTTAGGTACTCTATAATACGGGGGCTTTAGCTACTCATCTTGGCATCTGAGCAATGTATGTGATGTTGTTATATATTTATATTTATCCATTTGCATAAAATCTTAAGACGTGGCATACTGTGATATGCCCAAAATATATTGAACTAGCTGTTCCGCTGATATATTTTACCGCGGCTTCATCCGCTTAAATTATATCCTATGCTATCGGCGTATAATGTAGCTTTTCGAAGGTAAAAGAAATTTCAAAGTCGGTCCAGAGAAAACAAACACAAAAACCTTTTTTATTTTTTATAATATTAGTAAAGAAATATACTCACAGTAAAGCCTTTTCCACACACGTAGCATATCTTGTTTTTAGGCGGCAATATACCGTCGTGGACTCGCCTCTTGTGTCTCACCAAATCCGCGTTTCGTATGAAATTCTACAAAATAAAAAAACAGTCCAAGTTGCAAGTCGAACTTCGCTGTCTGTCCGTCTGTCACCAGACAGTATCTCATGGACCGTGATAGACAGTTGAAATTTTTATAAATAATGTATTTCTGTTGCCACTTCAACTACAAATACTAGAAATCATAATAAAATAAATATTTAAAGGGGCTCCCATCCAACAAACGTGATTTTCTTACTTGTTTTTGCTCGATATTGATAAAAAAACCACGTAGACGTTTGAAATATTTACAATATATGTATTTGTATAGTAAGTTTTGAAAATATATAATTAAATTAAAATAAAACAAACGTTTGAGAGGGGCTCCCATACAACAAGCGTGATTTTTTTTTTTGCTCATTTCCGCAACGGAACCCTTTCTGGTTCTGGTTTCACGGTTTTTTTCTCTATTGTCAATACTGTCTGCTCTAATCTTTTCTGCTGGTCACGTATTAAAGTGAAAGTTGTTCAGTTAATAATACATTTTATTTTAGCAATCTACGCAATTTTCCTAGATAACTCCTTCCAATTACCAAAATGTCATAAGGCCAGTAAAAAAAATATATATATATACCTACTTTATTATTTTTACATATTCATACCTTGTTGCAGTCTTCACACCTATACTTATAATGCTTCAAATGAACTAAATTATAGTGATCTTTCATATAAATGTTCTTGGAGAAAACCTTTTCACAATCTGGGCATGGTATCCTGAAAAAGGAACCCTAGTGATATGGTCTGGTATAATCATTTTCCAACCGAGGTAGCAATCCAGGAGGGATTTATTTTACATTAATGATTTTAAATTAAAATATTTTTGCAGTGTAAGACTTTTTTCTTTCATTTCCTCTACTGTCATCGAGGAAGTAATTAAAAAAAAGAAAACAGTAAAAATGCACCTCCACTAGATGGCGACTCTAACAAAAGTTGATTTTTGCAGGAAACGAATGGACCAAAGACAGTCATTTACGTTCCTTTTAAGTAACATATTAAAAAACTGAAATTTGCAAAGTTCGAAACTTCGATATCTATATCAATACAAATATGAAAAAGTACAAACAGAATATGAGTTTATTGAGTTTTGAAAACTAATTTACTTTTAATGATGAAAGAAAACCGGAAGGGTTGTCATGGAGAAATCAAGAACGTACCGTAGCGACATCTAGTTTGATTTCGGGAACTAGTGTTTTTTTTAAATACTTCCTCATTGCAAAAAACTTTCATTCCGGTTTAAAGAATAGTTAAGGCTTTAATGGATTTTCTTAATTTGTCGTTTTTAATGGACGTTTGTGCAACTGCGTGGAAGGGTTTTAAAAATATGTCCGTCCCATTGTAGCCTTTATAAACACACTTACGTATTATACGCATGAAATTTAAGATATTTTTTTTCAAAATCGTTCTTTTTAACTCTTAATTTGATTTCGTTCGGACACAAACTTAAAAAAAATTTGAGTATTATAAGTACTTTTTATGTTATTCTTTAAGATTAATTTATTATAACCTCTCAAAAAGTTGGTAGAAAGTTAAAGTTGAATTTGCAGTCGTTATTAACCACCAATCCACATTGGGCCCGCGTGGAGCGTCATGGCCCATTCTCCTTAAACATCCATAAGGAAGGATGATATATTTTTTTTTTTTTTTTTTTTTTGGGTTCTCAACCTTATGGGCTCGGAACCACCTTCCCATAAACGTAGGAAGGAGGCGGTGAATCCTTCATTGGATACCAACACAGCCGGCTGTGAGGGTTATGTCAGACTCTTACTGACTAAACACCGCCTTGGACTACTGGTTACATACCCGGAGGCAACGAACCTTCATCGGAGCGACCGCCCCCCCTCAAGGGGGGGGGCGGCGCAGACGTCCCTAAACACTTACATGAATAGTGACGTCGAGATGTTAGCCGTTAACCCCGTGGGGGGCTCGGCACATCGGATTTAGGTACGTACAGCTGACTCCCTGAAGGGGAACGATCAGCCGGATCGGACGGGGGTGTGACCTGAAGGGTCGGCGTGTGGAGGGCAGGGAGGGGAGCATCGCATACCACCAGAGGGGTGCTAATTGATACCCGTAACAATTTGTGTGGCCTGCATCCTGAAGGGATGTCAGGTCGAGAGGGCAGAGAGGGTTGACCTGAAGGGTCAGTATGATGGGGTGTGGAAGGTTTGGGGGACCTAACATGTTAGTGCTTATGATAAAGCACTTAGTAGCGCTTCGTGTTCACACAGCGCCAGAAGGCGTTCCTGTGTGGACGAAGCGCGACGGAGCTTAGCCGCTAGGGTGGTGATTTCATTTAGGTCGATTCCACGAATCAAGTTGAGAACTAGATTTATGTCATCGGCCATAGATGAAAGAACAGGAGCGGTTTTGGGAGGTGTGACGGAAGCCTTGGGTGAAGGTTTCGTCTGGGGGCCCCAAACCGGTTTAGAAGCCGATTTGGGGGCGGAATGGTTCGCCTTTGGTAGGGCGGGAAAATTCGCCGCAGTGGGCGGAGGGGGGGCTTTAGGTGCTTTGTTGACCACCGGATCCTTACCCTTCTTCTTTGAAGAGGGTTTGGGCTTCGGTGCTCGTGGGCAACCTTTGTAGTTGGCCGTGTGGCCGCTTTGGCCACACAGTACACAAGCCGGAGGGGTGAGAGTGTCTCGAGTACGAGAGCACTCCTTTGTAGGGTGTGACTCGAGGCACTTTACGCACCTCGGAGTCGCGGAACAGTTAGCCGCCGCATGCCCATAAAGCTGGCATCGGTGGCACTGTCCCGGAGTACCGCGTCGGTGAGGGGGTTCTACTTTAACCCCGGTAAGGCCGCAGACCCTAAGGTCTTTAGTCTTAAAAATGTCCCGAGCGTTGGGGACATTCGGAATGATGAGTAGAGCCAGTGGGAAAGGCCTGCCGGCTCTACTATGCATTTTGTGAACGGATTCGACAGGGAATCCCTGTTCGTTTAGATCCTTTTGGATCAGATCGGTGGCGAGCTCGTACGGAACATTTCTTAGGACCGCACGAACTTTGCGCTCCTCTGGGAGAGCGTAGGTATGATAACCCACCTTGTGGTGGGTTAGGAGTCTAGTGAGGGCTCTATAGTCCTCACTGGTGGGTGTTTCCACCCGGATAGCTACACCCATGTTTTTGGCATGGGTGTAGTTGATCTTATTTTGTGTACAGAGATTCGAGACCTCTGCCCACCTTGATTTGTCCCGTATGAATACGGGAGGCGGAGGTTTGGGTTTACCCGGCTGCGGAGTGCATTTATTATGCGGCCGCAGCGGGGTGTGGGAGGGAGTAATACTAGGAGTATTCTCCCGGGTGGCTTTTTTGCCGGTGTTGCCTCTGGTAAGGTTTGGGCCGAGGGAGGTTTTCTCGGCGGTATTGCTTACCGAGGACACCCCGTCCGATGTGCGGGGCTTTGTTGAGACGTTTTCCGTGGAAGCGTCCGCACTTGCTCTAGGAGAGCGTGGCTTACGACGCTTCTTGCGGCTTCTCACCGTATGAAATGTGCCCGAGGATTCGTCGGAATCAGACGTCCTGAGAAGGTCGTCGTCCGACGGAGCGGAGGGGCAGGAGGGGGACCGCTGAGAAGCGGTCCTCTTTATGGATGTGCTTTCGCACTCCATGTCGGAAGTTGGGGGGACAGGCGACGCCTGAGCGGCAGCCAACTCCAAAGTCAATTCAATGATTCTTTGGTAGTCGCTATCGGACACTGTTCGCCGTATTTCGTCGAATAAGTGTTTATTTTTCTTTATTATGTCTGACATATCGGCAATGCAAACCGTTAGATGCAAAAGAGAGAGAGGAGTAGTTGTATTTCACTCGCACTTCTCTCCGTCACACCTACCTTGGTAGGTTAGAGGGAGATAGGGCGAGTGTGCAAAAGACCTACCCCGCGCCGGAGCGAGGGGGGAAAACGCGACGCGGAAAAATGCGGCTATCCCTATTGGATATAGCGGCAAACCTTCACCCTTGGGACAAGGCCCAAGTGCACTGGGATCGGGTCTTCGGTGTTGCTAAAGCCTGAAGGGCCTTAGCGAGCGCACCGGGATCGCTCAGTTGGCTTAGTTGCCACCGTTAGGTATCCACCAACTCAAGAACATGAGAGTGAGTCAAGTCCTACTGGTTTAATGTTTTGAGAAAAACAAAATCAGCAGGGCTTGCGCTCGGGGTGTGCAGACGGCACGAGAGTACTCACAGTTTGGGTAGGAGAGAGTCGTGTACGCGCACGGGGGCGCGCAACGAAAGCTGAGAGCGGAATGTTGTGTGTTTGGATGATATATATATCATAATCTTAATATAGGTACTCAACTATGGTTCGATTACATGATTTCGACAGTAAAAACCCCTGAGTTAGGACATTCTGTTCTTATTTGGGTATAAATAATACTCACTCGATTTTCTTCCTAGGCTTGTGTCTCACACTGTTAGCCAAATGCCATTTATATCTGTAAACGTCAGGGTATTTCTTATCGCACTCCACGCAGTACGCGGCATCAGTAGGAGGACCATGACGCACTTTATTGTGGAACCATAGACCGTTGTAGCGAGTAAAGCGTTTATTGCACGGTACACAAACGAACGGGGAATGCTGTTTTCTATGAAGGATAAAAAAATGATTTTTAATGAAATAAATTAAAAGTACCCCACTTGCTTTTTAAGCTTTTTTCATTAAAAATATTTATCTGTATAACATTCTGAATGCAAAATTGATCGATTATAACTTTTTTTTGTTATTGGAACATTTAACGAAATATATTTTTTAATTTCATTTGGGTTGTATTGATTGAAAAAGTACTAAATGTTTATTTTTATTTAATTAAGACATAAAAATAAATAATTAAATTTCGCTTATAATAAATAATTAATTAAAAAATAATGTTCACTTGCCTTAAACTTAATACAAAATTTTTAACCCGCCAAATTACTGTCCAACATATTATTACTTCAAGCTACACTGTTTGACATATGAGAGCAATTGCGATGTATTTTTTATTTTATTCGAAGTTAATTATTAAATGTAATTATGTATATTAATAAATCATTTCATAATCCTCCCAGATCCTCCCAGTTAATCATACATCAGACATATTTAATGCCAATATCTTTAAATTCAAATGACGTCACGCTTTTGTACATTTTCTACACAACTACAAACCGAGTCCTTTTAATTTTAATGCCTATAATCTAACCCATTTCTTGTTTTAATTGAAGCAAAATTAAATATTTATGTAATATTTTTATCTGACTGACGAACTAAATAGAATTTATTTTTTGTTTACCCAATCGTAATCCTTATTAGCCCACTAAACGGTTGGTTACCCTAGCCTAGTGGCAACTGGGAATTTTTACTACTGGCAGTAATTTGGTATATCATGGTTGCATGTACTCACCTGATATGATCCTTTATACAGTAGCGCATTTTAAAACTGACACCACAATAATCACAGATGAACTTTTCATGCCACTCTTTGTAATGTTCAAGAAAATCACGGCGGCACCTGAAATTGACTATTACGATTATTAATTACCGATTATAAATCTTAATCTTAGTCATCTTCGGAATTGGCTACTTGACTCTTAAGGGGAAAATATTTCAAAATGTTCATATGGTTATATTGAAGCCCTATCAGATTTGTTTTTCTCCAAAAAGTGTTGTAAATAGTAAAAACATATTTTTTATCTTACTTTGCCCCGCTAATCGGTCTCGTGACATCACATCTCAACAAAAATGAGTAGTGTTGTAAATAGTAAAAAAATATATATATATTTTACTTTGTCCTGCTAAAACAATCAGTCAAGTGACGTCACATCTCAATAAAACTGGTTAGACTTGCAGCAAAGACGTTGACGTTTAAAGTCTCTGTTTTTTTTTAATCTCAGAGACCGCCTTTTGTGTACTCTGTATTGTTTACCGTGTAATTTCGATTTGTTTTCCTGTCTGTATGTGTGCAATAAAGATCATATTATTATTATTATTATTAAATGAGGAAGTATTTAAAAAAAAATAGATCTCGAAGGCAAACTAGATGTCATTAGCGATTTCCAGATACTGTCTGTGATATTCATTCAAATTTTCTTTATGCCGTATTAAAAGTAAATTTAGTATCGAGAATTAATAAATATGACATCGTTTCGCGTTTCTTATAATATTTGACTTTCAAATTAATTTATTTTAACTGCGAGTTTAAATTATTTATTAAATTACGTGCAAAGGAACGATATTTGGTTTATATGTCAACATTAGTGGTGAGCCGTCTTATTGGTTGCTATCCGATTTTGAGTTTCAAATGAAGAAGATAATTCAGATTGTTATTTATATTCGATTATGCATCTATACATCGAAAGATATCGATATAAATAAGTCCCATATTACAATAAAACTGATTTCTAGAATAGGTTCAGTTGAAAATAATAAGCCCATTATTTTCAATAATAATGAAAAACGAAAAAAAGGACTTCCCCACCGTATGAATTAACATAACACTAGCAGGGCAATTCTGTAAAAATCCAGACCCTAGTTCGATTCCATTTCCTAGAAGAAGATTTGATTGTTTTTTTGTATCGATAAGGTTTTGAAACTACTAAACCGACTTTTAAAAATTCATTCACCTACGGGAAGGTTCATCATAGGCGGGTGACATAGGCTAAGTTAGTTTTTTTATTAAAAATAACCAACTGATTTTGATTAAAATTTGTATTTAAAACGATTATCAATTCATTTAAATTAAACGAAAATTTTAGTGTTCTGCCTCACTATTAAGTGAAGAATGACGGATACCAAGTGTCTTTTTATCATGAATAAAAAGACTCACGTCTAATCATCATGAACATCATCAGCGTCATATCAAAATAGAGACGCCCACTGCTGGCCATAGGCCTCCCCCAAAGATTGTCTAATACCGATAATAAATTATCATTTTTTCCAAAATACCGGTTTTAGGTAAGCACTGTCCAAAAAAAGCTGGTATCATTATTTTTAAATTTGTTATGTGTCAACTTAGTCTCCGAGATTAAAAAAACAGACAAGCTTATTGAAATGTGACGTCACACGTTTCGGTTCTTGTAATCCACAGAATATAAATCGCAAGTTAAGTAAAATATACTTAAAACCTATTATGAGAAAAAAATACTGCACAGTTTACATATAAATTGCCATTTTCAACATTTTTTATAATTTATTGCTATAAATGTCATGTAGCCAGTTGGTAGTTCTGTTATATAAGTACTCACGTGAATAATAACTCACACTTAACGCATTGCAATACTTGTGGATGGGTTTTCATGATATGTTTGCGACCTTCACTTTCACTATCACAACTAAACTCACAAAACTTACATTTGTAACTTTTTGCATGTTTAACTAAATGTGTTAGAAGTTCTGTTTTATTATATAATAATTTATGGCACACATCACAAACAAACCTCTGAAACAAGGGTACATATCGGAATATATATTTTTCTAAAACATGTTTTTAAATTAATAAAAGAAAAAAGAACATATTCTATCTCAATTTTTAATAGTTTTTAATGAGGGCTACCGGTTTTTCGATCACATATAGCGCGACAATCACGAGAGGTCCTGTCAAAGTTTGTTTGAATGTAAATCATACATCATAATAAATAAACATGAAATACAGTTTAGTGACAGATGGATAGATGGACTGACAGCAGAATCTTAGTAATAGGGTCCCATTACTAACCGTTTGTGTAGGGAACCCAAAAAACTGTAATAAATGGTGTTTTTCGGTAGAGTCAATCAAAATTGTATAACTGTGTTACTTTGGACTTTATTAACTGTTGGAACTATAAGACTATCCTAAGCCACTAATTATATCTATGTTTATATCACAATCCGACCACCAAGTTAGCCGTACAAGCATAATGGAATTATACATATTAAATAAGTACGGATTCCATATAAAACTTACATCTTTGTGGTTACTTTCAAAATGTTTCAACATAATATTTTCTCTATTAAATTCCAAATTACATTCAGCACATTTATAATTCAAATCAGGGACATTATTCGCCACGCTTAGCTTCATTACTGAATATATATTTATATTTTTCACATGTAATAATTTAAATTTCGCCTTCCGATTCTGCACGGCTCTTTTCTTGGCCCATTTGTTGTTAACTTTTCTAGTATTAATATCAACTGTTTCACCTTTCACCGTTTGTTTTCCTACAGCCATATCTGACACTGGATCTTCATAATCATTGGAATATTCTGGATATGCAGTATCTAATTCCTCATTTTCTGAATATGATATTTTATCACCTTCTTCTTTGACCGTTACATTAGATTCGTTAATGTATATTGTATTTGGTGTTGTATCAGGAATAATAACAGTTGCTAAACATGACAGTGTGCTGTAGATTTTATTCTGAAAATAACATAAATTGTATTTATTAAAGAAAAATATGCTTGAAATATAAACAACATTCAGGTGTCTCCACAAATACTGTATATAAAATGTCTTTGATCAATGTTATTCATTGCAACAAGAACAAATTAAAAAAAAAATTACCTATGGGCAACTAGGTTACGGGTATGTTCCGATATCACATATATGGTTAACATAGGTTGTAATTTATGTATGAAAAAACAGCTTAGTGCTAATAAAGAAGTACTTATCAGTTTTTTGCTGTAGCAATAAGTATTTATTTTCATGTATTGTTTGTACCTGACCATTGAGTAAAAGGTTGTTGGCTCTCCATACCCGGTTCTGAAATCTTGCAACTCTTAGTACAAAAGAATGACACTCCCAACACAATAAAGTTTCTTCTGAAGGTACCTGTTTTGGATAAAAATATGATTTGTGTATGCAATGAGCAATGACTAAAATGACTAGGATGACTAAAAAGTTCAGAGAATAGTTTTCAATTGAAAATGTATAAAGGACAACAAAAGCATCTTACTTATATAAAAAAAAAAACACTGTTCATACACTATCTTTTGACAACCTCTGTAGCTGAGTGGTTTGCATGCTGGTGTCTAGGTGTCGCCATCTCTGAGGACCTTGGTTCGATTACTGGTTGGGTAAATGTAAAAACTGAACTTTTCTATATTGTCTCAGGTCTAGGTGTTGTCTCAGATATTCCATAATACAGGGGCTTTGGCTACTCACATTGAAATCTAAGCAGTGTATGTGATGTTATTAAATATTTAATTTAATCTTTTATACTACACAATGGATTTTATTCAGAGTGATTGAAGAAGAAGGCTATAAACCTGTATAAAACAGGATGATCAAAGCCACTGGCTAAAGGCTCGTTGGTAGATAAAGATCAACTAATCTAAACCAAACTTTTAAAGTACCCATATAAAAACTTGATATGCTTAACTTTTAATACATTACATTAATATTAATACTCTTGCAAACATTTTTATTTACAATAATTAAAGTTTGATTCACTTGTAATCAAATACTGTTGTATTATATAAAATTAATTTAAATTCTTACATTAAATATTTTTTTCAGACATACAGTTAATTGAAGCGTCCATCAATTTATTATTTGTAAAGTTTTAAATAAGATTTATGTTAAGTAAAGTTTACTTACATGAAAAGAAATATCGGATATCAATTTAGCGAAGACTCGGGAATATTTGTCTATTGCTAACATTTTGCGGCCGAAACTAAGGCATCCTGGACATTGCAATGTTACATCGAATTCTATTTTACTATCTATCTCCGTTTCATCATTCATCGCGGAGTAATTATTAAATAAATAAAACTTCTATACTTCACCAGCAAAAGGAATTAGGGATGCGGGTACGATATTACAAGTACTTACTAATGATACTTTTCTTCAATACCAAGTATTTCGGTTCCAATACTTTAACCTAGTGAGTAACCAGTAGTATAGTGATGTAAGTATTTGTATCGGTACTTGGTCGATCACGCACTGAGGAGAGACGAAAAAGATTTATCTACAGAGAGCACTTTAAATAAAATTTAGAACTATATGCATTACTTTTTAGCTTGGACTTGCTGTTTTCTCTTCCGTAAACAGAGTATTGCTATTGACTATAAATAGTATCAAATCTGCTGTAAAATCTTTAAAAATAACAACGATGGTGATGCACAGCTAACTGTTCGAAACAAGTAGGATTCGAAGCTTTTTATACGATACCATGTTGATATCAATACCTTATTACGGTATCGATACCTTGGTTGTATCGTTTCATCCCTACACAGCATATGACAGATTATAAAAAACCAGTACAACCAAAAGCAAGCCCATTATCGATTTCCATAGCCAAAATTAATATATTAAATAAAATCGCCAAAATAATCCTGCACCACCAATATACGGTGGAACAGAATGACCGACACTCCCAAGATTCCTGGAGAGTACTATTTGTCTTTAATATGATGTAAAAAAAATATATGTCTAGGTAAAATAGTTTCGGAGGTATTAAATTACAAAGATTTTGGAAAATAATTAGTGTTTTCAACAAGTTTTAATCGGTCATTGACTTCTTAATTTCTAAAAACAAAATAAAGTACTATTGTGATCTATTTAACGGTTTTTTAATAATTTCTAATTGACAATCACATCAAATAACAGGACCATTTATTAAAGTAGTTAAACTAAAACATCAGCACTAAGTAAGGGTTTGGTTACTTATTTAAAATGTATTTATATAGAAAATTCAAAAACAATTGCATAATAACATAATACGAATTCGAGATGGTGAAGTGAATTCGTCCCTGGTTATTAGTTAATGGAAAAAACCAGTTATAGGAAAAAGTAGCCGGTCCCCATCTATTTGCCGTACGCTAGCCAATCACAGATCTCGACGTGTGGCGTTTTTTGTCCGGTTTGCGTTTTTTGTCCCGTCAGCGTCGGAGCCTTTTTTTAATCGCCGCCGGACGTTTGAGCGTGAGATACGTTACTGCATCGCTGCTACCGTAACGCTGTGAAACGATTTTTCCGTCCATTTTTCTGTTGTAATTTTAGTTTATTTGGTTTTAATTTAACTAGTTCTTAGTGTGTGTGTGCGTTTGTGTGTTTAGTTTAGTGAAGCCGAGTTAGTTTAGTTTAATTAAATTGAAAGTGCCTTTAGAAGCAAGAGTTTATTTGAAGATTGTGTTATTATACGGAGAATGTGGCTATAACGCAAGGGCAGCTTTACGTTTTTAACGGGAAAGCTTACCGCCACCACACCCTACAAACCTTCGCGTTGTTACAAGTGCACTTTATAGGCTAAGAGAAAATCGTCCAGTCGTCCCACGTACTTCCATGGATGAGCAGCGAGGCGGCCGATCTAGGCGTGTACCTGTTCAACCGGCTTCAGCTCATTCTGTTGTGGAGGTGTGCAAGGTAAACGAAATGTTTTGAGACCAATAGATTGGCCAGTACGGACCACATCGCTGGCCAGCAGACTTACCTGACCTCACGCCTCTGGACTTTTTTTATGGGACACTTTAAGAGATTGCGTTTATCACGATGAATGCGAAAGTCGTGGTGAAATGGTGAACCGCCTGGTTCTGGAAAATTATGTAATTTCGCGCGTGCTCCGGCATACAAAAGAGCATGCTCCGCTCTATCTGCAGAGAGGAGGTGGACATTTTGAGCATCGACTCTAGGTAAATAATTAAATTAATACTAATAATTATCATTAAGGTTAGTTCTTATTAAATGGCCGGTTGTAATCTGTACACATCGACATTACGTGAAGGTATAGTATAACTCTCTGTACGCTAACGCGTGAGCGTGTGTGCGGTAAAGGGCTGTCAACATTTAGATTTTTTTTTAACACCAGTTTTTCGTCTTATCTATTTTTAAATATTTGTTAAATAAAATGAACATTTGCATGCTACCTAACTTGAAACTTCAGCTGTGTCGGTCGTTTTGGGGCTAACTGTATATCAAAAATCAGCACGTAATTTCTTAAATTCTACTGCTAAAATAATACGGCTATTAAATCGAATGAAGTAATTTAACATATTAATATAGCTTAACCCGCTGATCACTGTAGATAAAGTGACCGGCTTGTATCATTCAATATAAGTAAATACATATTCAAACTTGGATTTGAACTAAGGAGACACTTTTTAGTATTGGATTCCAAGGATTAATTTGTTTATGAAAAAATGCTCACTAGAAGCGAAAAGTAACAAGTGCTTCAAAAATTCATCAGTCCTGTTAGGTCCGTAGCTCAGTGGCTAAAGCAATCAACCGGATTTCAAAAGGTCGTGCGTTAAATTTAATACTAATATTAATTATATTTATTTTTATTTTATTTATTTTTGAAACTAGATTATTTTTACGTTATTATTAATCGAGTCTAATCTCAGAGCTAGGTACTCTCCAGGCTGGGGGATTTTTTAAGCATTTTTCACATAGAATATTTTCCAGTATAGATTGTGAATGTAAAATTGATCAAATATAAGATTTATGAATTTACTTAAGACCCAAAAATTATATTCATATGTCGGCTTCATGGAGCGATATATCGAGTTGATATACTTGTTATTTTTATGAAACTTATCTCTATTTTGGGCCTCCCTAATCTCTATGTAACTGACATTGACGTTTGTTGTTTGATTGCTCTCGGTTGTTTGTTGTTCGATGTTTGTTTTTAGTTTATTTAAATAAAACTAATATTTTGACGAATATGTGATCACAGGAATCTACAAAAATGTTCTCTGTCAAGGTTGAATGCAAAAAAGTGTCCATTTGTTGTGGTTGTCTCAGCACGGATAGGAGAATTGTGCTCGTAAACAATCACCTCGATATATTTTTCTCACTTTTAGGAGTTCAGCGAGACTGCTGTGTAAATATTATTATATTTTTTAATAAACTGCTTCCTTTATCATACGCATTAATGAAAATTGGATGTAACATTATTAACCTTTGCCTAGACGTCTTAATTTGGTGACTCTAAAGAAAGATTGCCTTAGGTTTAAGTTAGATAATCAATAGAAATATAATTAGAATGTGTTACTCTTGACTGTACAGAGTCGATTCCTTTAGGTCATCCTCTAAAATTTCTGCATTTGAAAAACCTTAACACAATAACAGTTCAATGCAAGATCAATTGAGAGTAATAAATTTGAATTACGTTTTACGCAATTTATAAGGCATTATGGTTTAAATTTTATTAATATCATTGGAGACATCTGTTTTGTCTCTCCATGATTCCCTGTAAATGCCTGGTTTAATTTAGTCTCCTACATAATTACACTTAAATTGATTCCTTTGATATCAAATTGAATAAATATGCATTAGTGTTCAATGGGACAGACTCAACATACCCTCAATTTTCATTAGGATTGAAATTAAATTTCACTCAATGTTGTACCTATTTATAATTATAATTTAATGCATTTGATTTAAAAAAGATGAATTGAGCATACACACTTCTTAACAATACAATATTGAATGTTGTTTATTTAATCCAATATATGTCAAGGTTTGTCTACAATAAATATTTAATAAATTGAATTATCTTTTGTTATTCCAGCAAACACAAGTATTATTATGTTGGGAATGCATTGCACATCTAAAGAAGATTCAAAAATTTCAAAATAGAATACAAAATGCTCAATTTGTACTACAACGGTCATATGAATTGGTAAGCGTTATTATAAGTATGGCTTTGGAGGGTTGTTTGATATTCACAAAGCATTTGATAATGTCTAGCATAAAAGTCTTCTGAAGGAAGAGTATTCCTCGTTAAATTATTAAGTCTTTAAACCTAACATTAGAATATGGATATTCAAGGCTAGGACAAAGATTTAGTTCCACAGGGTTTAATTATGGGGCCCATATTTTTCATATACATTTTTGTTTTACCTAATGTTTATTGGTTATGAAAGGTCATAGTTTCTAATCTCATTTCGACCACCTGGAAATGGTGAAGTTTTAAGTATTTTCTTTAATATGTTCAATATACCTATTATAAATAAATTCATTACTTTAATGGAAATGAACTACTTCAAATTAAGCAAGGCACAAGAATTGTTCAATATATTACATTTTCGGTCACCCATCCGATTACTGAACTTTGTGAAAATCGCTTAACCTCCGCAATCAAAGACCAGACGAGCTCTACATAGCACACTAACAGTCACATTTATTTGTTTCACCCAATTTGTATGGGAAATTAAAATGCCGTTTTGTATTTTCTCTCATTTTTTCAATATTTTTTCTTTCCTTAAGGAAGAATCTTCTCCTTCGTATGTATATTTAAAATTAAAGTTAGTTACTTTTTTTAATTTAGTCTAGCGGTTGTCGAGTTTCGTACTTAGACAATTAATTGTTAATTATGTACAATAAATAGGTAATATTACTTCAGAAGTCTTTTATGGGCAGACTCTCAACCGATTACTGAATATCGAAGAATACTAATCTCAACAACTGATATTATTTTAAGGAAAAGCTACCAAACAACTCACTAACCTCCCTTACAACAGTAAAAAAAGATTATTATGACATTTCCATTGATTACGAAACTTCAAAGAAAGAGAAAGACAAAGAAGATGAAAAAAATCGCACCATCAACGATATCAAACAAGAAAACGATGAAGATTCCAATCAGCTAGTTATAGATGACTCGTTTAGCGATAACGAATTATTAACCATAGATTATAATAAATTAAAAAAATTAGAAGTCATAGATGATACAATAAAAGAGGAATCTGATCTTAAATATAGACGTACGAGATACTATATGAGTAAGACTACTGTCAAAAGATTGGATGTCGATGCGACAGAACTAAAGACACGCTGGGCGAAAGTGAATCTTACTGAGGAGGAAATAGAGGAGCTATTGGTGAGGGACAAGAAAAAAGTCGGTCGCAACGCACTACCGCATAAGTGTAGTCAGTGCAAAAATACGTATAAAAGAGGCATAGATTTGAGAAGGCATGAAACATTCAATCATAATAAAGTAAGTAAATTAGGTTCTGTTTTATAAAATGAGAATTAACGTGAGTACCATGTTTAAATCATTATCCGACCAAAATTAATCAACACGCCTCAATTTGGCGTTCTCTCTTCTATCGTTGTTACTTTGATTTATGCGGCCAATGGTTACAGCCTAGTTTAAAGCTTAAGCTTATGAGTAAATGCTATTATAAAGTTGAAGATTATTTTAAGGACCGCAATGCATGGAATTAATAGCCTTCACTTTGTTCTATAACGTACCAATTATATTTACAAACTATGACCTACAGACTTTGAAAGTTGTGTTTATTATTGTGCTAATACATATTATTTTGGTAATGACATGATTTTGTAAATGTCATTACTTATGATAAAGAGCTGGTAAGTTTCTTTCGCTTGTTCTTCTTGTCAGCTAAAAGACGTCCTGAACAAGTGGTAGGGGAAAAAAATTTGGACGATTCAAAAGTGCTTGTAACAAGCTTACTTGAATAAAGATATTTTCCATTTCATTTCAGTTTGAGACAACCTTTGGTGCTCGTTTTAAGACTTGCCTAGATCGGAAACCTGATTGATGTTTTCAATTAATTTATGTTTCTTTGTTAATTTTGATAAATCTATGTAAATTCCCAGTTCATCTTTAAATGATGGAAAGTTAAGCGAATAAATTGCAATTATATTTTCTTTGTAGACGGTAATATTGATGTGCCTATGACGTCATGAAATAACCCTCTGCTAATATAGAAGAATATAAAACCGTGAAAAAAATACAAGATGGCGGCTATCACATAATGGCGGAATATGTTTTTATAGATCTTTTTTTTTTAATTTCAGCCGTCTTTTCCTACTAAGTGTAAAGAGTGCAGAGTGGAAGTGAATTCATGGGAATCATTGAAGGAACATTGGAGAAAACATAATTTCTATTATAAGTGTGATGTTTGCAATTGGCTCTCACATTCTATGGCTTCCCTTACGAGACACCATCGCAGGTTTCACACTACAATGTACTGTTGTAACACTTGTGACGTCACTTGTCGGTAAGTATCAGAACATGTTCCTGAACTTATATTTTTATATACAACTAGCTGTCCTACGTCTTTGCCCTTGTTAATTACATTCTGTTACCCGCTTATGATGTTGCTTTCCGTAGGCCAATGAATTTTTAAAATTGGTTAAATATTTACGGAGATTATCCAATGCAAGTAACAAATCATTCCTTTTTGCATAGTATTTGTCAAACTTAGGAAAAGGTTTTAGGTTTATTAACCGACAAAAAATGGAGGTTCGCACTTTAACACGATTTTAAAAATCACCCACTATAATGTAAATTTTATTTTACTTCTAATCCAACCAATAAATGACGGTGTCTTAAGAACCAAGACCATCTATCTACACTTTTGGCGATTTTGACTTTTTAATGCAGTTCTTTTCATGGTTAATTTACGCATCGTTTCCTTTAATCGATTATTTCAAATTCGCAATATATAAGGAGTTATGAGAAAATACCAATACCACCTTAGTTACGTGTCGTAATAATTGTATGAAAATACCACCTATCTACATAACACGTAATTATTCGTTCTTATTGCGAGTTGCAAAATGAACTGTTTGCGTTACAACATAATAGGCCCCATACATAGGCCCTACAGACTCACGCCGAGAAGTCCCAACACCCGAGACACGAGAATGTGATAAGTTTCTCGCCTTCTCGTTCTCGGGTTCGCATCTTCTCTGTTTGTTGTCGATTTTTTGCCCGCTTTAAGAGATGCAACTCGTCCGCCGAGATGAAGGCCGGCACACTCTCCCTCAACCAAGCTTGGGTGCTTTTTGCCTTATGGGATGGCGCCGAGTCTTGCTAAACCCAATCCTTATTATGAAATAACGTATCAGACAGGGGTTTCACTAAATGGGCTCTAACATGTCACTCTGATAATTCTTGGCTTTCACCTCGACATCTTTTTGGCAGAAATGGAACGGAGTATCACCTTCATACGAAATTTCGTATGAAGGAGTGCGCGAGAGATTCCTTCAGGGGAAGTTTTCGATATGCAGCTTCCAAAATTTGGAACAACATTCCTCTACCTTTGTTCATATTGTGATACTTTGCTTACTTTTAAAAACCACTCGCGTAGATATTTAATGAATGCGCAGCAAGGACTGGGTAATATCAACATGGATATTTCTCATATATAGGTTTCTTTCAAACGTTAATACATAAACTTTCGCATTTATAACATCTGTAGGATATTGTGTGATGCAGGCTGAATGTTGTGGTGTGGCTTTTTCTCTTCCATTTGAATGTGAACTATTCTAGTCAATGGTCATAGGTGCCCTTAAATCAAATTGAATTGCATTGTGGTTTATTTGTAGGTCTTCAATTTAATTAGTAATTATTATAGATATGTAATGTTTTCAATTCTCAATTTCATTCATTAATGCATATTTTAATGAATAAAAAACACACACACGCACACGCACGCGCTCATACACACACACACACACATATGTTTTATTATATTTTATTGTCTAGTATTGTGTATTATCATTATTTTTTTTTACATGAATGTGTCTTGTATCTGTACTAGAATAAATGAATTTCAATTTCAATTCCGTGCAGAAGCTGGGACATCCTTGCTACTTTTAGCGTCCATTTGTTTTGTTGGTTAAACTTTTCTTTGCCAGTAAAAAATTTCTCATCGGTGAAGAGTTCCTGGCATCACGTCTCCTCAGCAGCAATGGACAACGTTCGCGTCGTAACTTACGAAGACGATCGTTTAAAAATTGAATTTTTCTTCGGCTATAGGCCTTTACCTTAAAATCATATTTCAGTAATCTGTTCACTGAAACGCGCGAAATATTAGTCTGCAGAGCGAGTTCCTTCTGAGTGCGACATGGATTTCGGCGAAGTCGCTCTCGGATGATTTTGATGTTCGCATGCGTCCTGACAGAGCGTGGCCGACCACTCCTCTGGCGATTCTGCAGTGAACTTGTCTCTTTGTACCGCTGTATTGTGTGGTAGACGAAGTTACGGCTTACAGGAAAACTTTTCAGCTCGCGGAAAATCTGCAGCGGTTTTTTTATGCCTTGAAATGACAGTTGCACGTAATGGTTTCGTTCCCTCCATCGAAAAGTTTGTCTCAAAACTTATGAACATATGAGGTACAGAGCGCCGTGGGTTTAAATATTTAATTATTAGTGTGTTCATTGTATATTAAACGACCTTTTTCTATTTGGATTAATTTGTACCATCCACTCTCATCTGGGCCTCATTTTTCAATTTTTCAGTCAATGCTAGTGCATGTATACCAAAGCGCCTTTACTAGTAAAGTCATCCATATCCGAGAACGGAGAGATCTATTGAGAACTCACCGTGAGTGTAAACGGTGCAACTATTTCTCTTCAAGGTCCGGCGAGTCTTCTCGGCGTGAGTGTGTACCGCGTAACTAAAACACTTCCTAAGTTATTGGTACAAGTTTTTACAGTACATTCTTACCTTAGGTGCCTAACTAATATAGACGGAGAGCTTGTGAATAAAATTTGCAAGGGCTTTCTGAGCCTCGACATTGCAGTATGTTGAAGAAGGTACTAAGAGCATACATTGTGCGGAGGTCAGGCGCTGGAACTATATTATTTCCTTTGCCAATACCATCTATATTACAGTTAGCTGCATAAACATACGCAAATATTTTAACTAATACCAGCTATCTACAGTAATCTTGAAACTAATGAAGATTTCTTGAAACACATGCAAACACCTTATTTCCTATGCCTATCCATTAATTGATCAGATATAAAAATAAAAAAAATTGTTGTAGAAAAAATATGAAACGTTTTTTTCGTCTCCTGTAAAATCGACTTTTTGTAGATAGATGGTCTTGGTTCTTAAGCGTCGTTAGTATCGATAAGCACATAGCCAATTATATTACATATTTTTTTGTTCACAACCAACTGTGCATTTGCAGTCGTGAATACCCTCCAATCCGCATTGGGCCAGCGTGGAGGGTCATGGCCCATTCTCCTTAATGTCATTACCCATTCTCCTTATGCCACACCATCCATAAGGAAGACCTGAGCCCCTGCAGTGGGGACGTAAAAGGGCTGATAATGATGATGATTGAATCCTAATTCTGGTTAGGATTTTTACAGAATCGCAGGGCAGTCTTAAAATTATGATGCGTAGTCGTATACCCGAAGATAATTGGAAAAAATTTTTGTTACTACCAAAATTCTGGGGCGTCACACCAGACTCTTGCGATGTTAACTATCTTTTAGGTAGCATATTAAACCACCACTATCAGTTAGTTGTGCTGATTCAATAAATCAGAAGCCCTGATAGTTATGCCATTGATCTGTCAGCCTGCCAGATGAATCAATATTCATTTTGCCAGATCAATCAGGTCTTGAGTAGAAGTGGTAGTGGTGTAAATCTTTGTATGATACTAATATTGTAAACAGGCACGTTTTAGTTGTTCTTATATCGAATAGACTCCAAATCTACTGGACTGCTTTTAAAAATTCTTTTACCTACGGATAGCTTCATCATACGGGGTTGACATATAGGCTTTAATTTACGCGTGCGAATTTGCAGCACAGCTAGAACTGTATATTTAAATGACGATTACAGAACGACAAGATCAAATTATCTATTAAAAAGTATTAATTTTACAGAACTTTAAGGGAATTCAGTGAACATTATAAAATGAGACACGAGAGACTCATATGTGATCACTGCAGCAAGAGTTTTATCAAGAAACGCTCTTTAGAGATCCATATCAAGTGAGTAGCAAAGTAAAAATTAACAAAAAAACAAAGAATATTCCAAAAAACATACACAAATTGACTTCGATTTGGTTGACATTGGATTCAATCAAAATTCACTCAATATTTCTATATTATATTCTTCGATCACTTGCATTTGAAAAATTAATTTATAATTTAAGTCATTGTGCAATACATACCATAGAATATTATAAACGCGAAAGGGACCCCGTCTATGTGTATGTCTGTTACGTTTTCACGCCTAAACTACTGAAATAATTTCAACGAAATTTAGTACATAGATAGAATGGACCGTGGGCAATGTCATAGAATTATTAGAATTTTTTATCGTCAAAAATAAGCTTAAAGGGGCGATAATAACGGAAAACCAAAGGCGGAAAAAGAATAACTATCTTTAATATCAGGAACTTACCGTGTCTTAAAGTATTTTAACTCATTATACATTCTAATCCGTTTAGTTTTCCTTTCTAATCAGTTTAATTTAACATTCTGATCCGTTTAATTTTACTTTCTAATAAGTTTAGATTCACTTTTGATCTATTCAACATTCTGATTCGTTTAATTTTACTTTCTAATCCGTTTAGACGTCATCACACTCCGGCCACATGTTTAGAATGTAACAAAAGTTATGCACATTACCACGTATTGGAGAACCACTTTCGAATGTACCATCCCCATATGGTGCGAGCTGATAATCGAACGGAATTAGCATATTGTGTGGAATGTGATAAGCAATTCCCAAGTGTTTATAAATATAGAAGACATTTGGCTACTGCAGCTAAACATACGCCTCCTAAACCTGTCAGGTGAGTAGTACGATTATAAGGGGTCACATAAACAAAATCACTGTCTTTCCACAGGTTTTGTATAAAGAAATAACGCTCTAATAAGCCGTAATTCAATATTAGTTAACAATATCATATTTATGAGGGTTCTGTCGGACTCGAAAAGTGAGTTTATAAAATTTCCTATATACAAAAAAAATAAAGGACACCTCTGCGCTCGCGCGCTATCGTCATCTTAGTAAAGTATGTATAAGAAAAAGGGAAATACAATCGAGTCCGTAATTAAAACAAAAATTTAGTTTGGCAATTTATTAATTTAGAAAAGGATGTAGAACCTACTTTAACTTGTATCTATTATTATCAAAATCTTATTAATATTATAAATGTGAAAGTTTTTTTGTTTGGATGTTTGTCTGTCAATCACGCCGAAACTACTGAACGGATTTTGATGAAATTTGGTATACAAATAGGGTATTAGCTGACTTCGATAATAGGATACTTTTTTATCACTAAACAATTCCCTAGGGACTACGCGAGCGGAGCCGCTGGCGAAAGCTAGTCACTACATAGTATAAAACAAAGTCGCTTTCTCTGTCCCTATATCCGTATGTATGCTTAAATCTTTAAAACTACGCAACGGATTTGGATGTGTTTTTTTTTTTCATAGATAGGGTGATTCAAAAGGAAGGTTTTTATGTATAATACAAGACCACGTGGGCGAAGCCGCTGGCGGAAAGCTAGTTATATTATAATTTCTAGTAACTTGACCACGACTAAGTTACCCTCCCTGGTGTTAAAGCTGGGTCCGCCCTTATATTTATTTTATCACTTATATTATAGCGCTATTCCTATCACTGATTACTAACATAACTAATAGAATAAACGTTGGACTATTAGATAGTAGTTGCGTGGTTGATTTGGTGTCTCGTAAATAACCCTGTATATTTTTGAAGGGTGCCGTGCCCCGAATGTGGGAAAGTGTTCGCACGTAAGATACGCATGACCAACCATTATAACTCCGTGCATAGAAACATTTCTAAGCATCGCTGCGACATTTGTAACAAGGTATGTATCGTCATCCTATTAATATTATAAATGTAAAAAGTTTATTTGTTTGGATGTTTAGATGTTTGTCCGTCAATCACGCCGAAACTACTAGACGGATTTTGATGAAATTTGGTATACAGATAGGGTGTTAGCTGACTTAGATAATAGGATACTTTTTATCCCACCAACCATTTCCCTAGGGACCACGCGGGCCAAGCCGCTGGCGAAAGCTAGTAGTTCATAAGGCGACGACCGGGGCATAATTGTCTCATTTTAAAATACATCGCGATCCCTTTCGATTGTAAATTTGAATCTCTCAGAGAAATATTTAAAGAAATAAATATTTTGACTGTTGCCTCTCAATACATCTATGAAAATATTATGTACACAAGAAAAAATTACGATTCCTTCACAAAAAAGTAGTGTTCATAATCTTAACACAAGAAATAAAAATAAACTTGCCGTTCCAAGCTTCAGACTTCAGAAAACCAGTGGGTCATTTCTGGGTAAATGTATTGCTATGTTCAATAAAGTTCCACAAAATGTAATTGACCTACCCATAAATAAATTTCAAATTCATGTAAAGAACATACTTATGAGTAAAGGCTAATATAAAGTTGATGATTACTTTAAGGACCGCAATGCATGGAATTAATAGCCTTCGCTTCGTTCTATAAAGACTAATTATATGTACCAACCTACGACCTACAGACTCTGAAAGTTGTATTTATTATTTTGGTAATGACATGATTTATGTAAATGCCATTACTTATGATAAAGAGCTGGTAAGTTTCCTTCGCTTGTTCTTCTTGTCAGCTAAAAGACGTCCTGAACAAGTGGTAGGGGAAAAAAAGATTTTGGACGATTCAAAAGTGCTTGTAACAAGCTTACTTGAAAAAAGATATTTTCATTTCATTTCGAAATATATTCACGAACTTCACGCTACTATATGTTCGTGGAGGATTTTGTGCACTTGACTCATACCGATGCCTAAGCTTGTCCGAATCTGTTGATAGGTCACTCTTTTGTCAGTCTCTATCATACGCCGCACAACACAGATGTTATCTTCAGTCGTCGCCGTAGAAGGCCGTCCCTCACGTAAATCATCAGTGAGATTAGTGCGACCACGTTTAAACTCATTAAACCAGTTGTAAACAGTCGCACGAGATGGGGCTTCATCGTGAAAGGCCAATCGTAGTCTATCATAACTTTCTTGTTGACTTAAATGACATCGAAAGTCATAAAAAATCATTGCACGAAAATTTTCTCGTGTTAAATTCATGATGACGTGACACAGACAATTTTCAATTTGCCGCCAAATCGTAAAACAAATGACAAATGAATGAAATATATACTCAGTAATATTGGCAAAGAGTTATATTTTCAAATTTTAGAATTATTTTTTTATTATATTGTTTATAAGTGGCCAGTTCTAAGAACTTTCAGTTTGACCCTCGTACAACTGTTTGACATGTGATAGAAATTGCGAACGCGATTTTTTTTAAAGATGTCGATTGAATGGTATGGGTTACTTGATGTTGATTGGTATTTTTTAAGGCAATCGTTAGATGCAAATATAAATTTAACTATTTTAACAATGCTTATTTAAGGTTTCTCGATCATTAGTCGTAATTGCGACTTTGAGCGTTGCATAATTCCATAAATGGATGTTACATTCGAAATTGGACAATAAGCCCATGGACCCATTCATAAATCACGTCACATATCTCCTCCCCCTCCCCTCCCGTACTGTCATAGTTTGTCCATACGAATAGGGATGATGACTAATTTTTGTTTGTTTGTCCGTCAGGTAGTGTGTTAAAAAATATTAAACACGTATTTTTTTATTTTTTCGTAATCATAAAATTACGGCGTTACATGGAGTTGAAATTTCGCATGACGTCACGTTAGAGTACGTTTTCTACTAAACTGTGACGTAGCGAGCCCCCACTCCTCAACTTTAATGCCTGTTATCTAAGCTGTTTCTTGTTAAATTGAAGTAAAAAAAAAATACGTATCTAATATTTTTCTATTATCTGACTGACGGACTAAATAGATTTGCATTTTTTTTACCCAGTCGTCATCCCTATCCTATTAAACATTGTTCTAATGTGTAATACTTCGTTGACGTCACGTGTCGTTCTGTATAGGGTTAGGTATTATAAATATCTCGATAATACCTTGATAATTATAAAACACTACACAAACTCCCTTAGTAGTTTAGGATTTGTTATTAAATCGGAATCATCTTTATACATCTGTCAAATGATTTTAAACCTTAATTCATTGTCGGTAGAGTTTAAAATCAATTGACTTTTTTTTTAAATATTGTGGCAGCAGTCGTGTATATATAAAAATAATAAATAAATAAATAAAATATTTAACAACATCACATACATTGCTCAGATTCCAAGATGAGTAGCTAAAGCCCCCGTATTATGGAGTGTCTGAGACAACGAAGGTACCACAACATCCAGACCCGAGTCAATATAGAAAAGTTCATTTTCTACATTGACCCGACCGGGAATCGAACCTCAGAGATGGCGACACCTCGAAACCGGCGTGCGAACCACTCGGCTACGGAGTCAAATGACACATTAGTTATGTTTTAATGTACACTCCGTTTTTTTCCAGAACTTCTGTTCAGCATTCTCTGCTCGCACTCACAGACAGCACGTTCACGAGAAAATACCGATGCCGAAGAATAAAATGTGCGATATTTGCGGACGGGGATTCAGTGTAAGTAGTACTCTTACGAATTAAAATGACAGACCTATTCTATTGTTACTGATTGGTCGCTGCCTTCTAGTAACAGTACAGCGCGATGTTTCGTCTGCTCGTCGCTAGATGGCGTTGTGCGCCGCTGAATCGCGCTAGCACTATAGGGGCGCGGGCAAAATACCATGTTTGACGCTAATACAGATCTATTCTATTCGCAGATATGGATTCTTTAAAAAAATATCCTTCGAGGACAAGTAGAATAGGCACTCTTTTATGTCTCTAGGCACATGCCTAGTTTGCCTTACGAAAAATTCCACATTAAGTTTGTTTAGCAATGTTGTCTAATGTTTACTAATGGTCGCCCAATCGTCGAAATTCGTATTATGAATAACATTAGGGATTTATTATCTAAAACCGTAAACACGACTGTCAATGAATATAATATAATAATAGCATTCTGCACTCCTCCATATTAAACTTTAGCTTTACCAAATTGCATACTCCTTTATTTTTGTGAAAGGTTTTTATAAAATGATGCACTAACAGAATTGGGTGACACAGGTCACGAATCAAATCTTTGTAACGCTACGACCCTAGGCATGTGCCTAGTGTTTTAATGTTTGCCTTGGAATAAGGATGATCCACTACTTGCTTGATATGCGTTATCTATATTCCTGAATACTAAGCACATGTCTAAGATCTAAGCACACGCCTAAGCACTAGGCACGTGCCTATAATCATTGCGTATACCTAATTTACCTAAAGGATGATCCTCCACTTGTTTCTAGATGAAATGTTATCTTATATGTATCTATGTTTTTAACACATACAGACAAATCGGATATTGACCAATCACCGACGGACGCATACAGGTGAACGCCCATATAAGTGCGCCCACTGTCCCGCAACATTCGCTCAACGTACAGCAATGAAGACACACGAGCGTACGCAACATAAAGCTCAATGGGACTCGCATAGTGCTCTATCCGCCGCAGCCACGTTACTAGAACTGGGGGATAGGGATGGGAACTGAAAAACAAGGGGATAGAGAATGGAAACTGAGAGTTTATTGGCTAATTTACAAATCTGTCGCAATCTATTTTGACATTTGAATAATATTCTAGAACTTCACGCCACAGCCGTTTTCATTAAATATATAATAAGAAGTTAATTTGTCTAAGGCAACCGTTCGACGCAAATATGTTTGAAAGCTATAGAGAAATATGAAACGAAAGAGTTGCATACTAACAATATTTGCGTTTTAGATAAGTTTTATTGTGTTTTTTGATTATTCAAATAATCGTTCGTTCCAGAAGCGACTTTAAAAGTTACATTGGAATATTGTCAAAATAGCTATTACAATAGCTATGCCTTAAAAAGGATTGCAATATTTTTTTTAAATTAGACAATTAGCGTACCGATTAAATAATTATAGAGACAAATTAGTGATACTTATAGATGAAAATTGAATATAAATAAGGGATAAAATATATTCCATGAGAATTGTATATTGGTTATTAATTGGAATGTTAGTAGGAATATTATTACGTCCTTGTATAGTCAAAATATAAACATCACAGCAAAGAATGCAATATAAAACAGAGTACCCCATAGTTCTCTATTTGCCTCCGCAATATCACTAGAACTGGGGGATAGAGAAGGGAACTGGAAAATAGGGGATAGAGGGAAAAGTTCACAATTATTGTTCCATTAGTTATTAAGTGATGTATGTCGAGGAGTTGAAGGTTACAAAAAAAAATCTCAGTGTGTTTATCAATTCAGGGTTCAGCAATAGATTTTGAAGGAGACAGTTATGTCACTGGCTTTTATATATATAAGAAGAATAATAATTTTGTTGTCTTGTATATGTTACGGTAAATGTCGAATAATAAAACAAACTGGAATATCCATGTTAATATCATCGTCATCTATACTGGAATAGAATATCTAGACTTGCACTCGTAATTTAAGGTGATATTTTTACCAAATAACTTATTATACAAGTATTTTAATGAATTAAGAATAGGGATGGCGACAAAATTTTTTTTTGTTTGTCCCTCAGGTAGTTTGTTGAAAAATATTAAACTTTTTTTTTTGCGTAATCATTAAATTACAGCGATAAATTGAGTTAAAATGTCGCGTGAAGTCACGCTTTTGTGCATTTTCTATAAAATTGTGACGTAGCGAGCCCCCTCTCCTCAACTTTAACGCCTGTTATCTAAGCACATCATCATTTTTAAGCATTTTTACGTCCCCACTGCATGGGGACCTTCCACGCTGGCCCAATGCGGATTGGAGGGTATTAACGACTATAAATTCGGCCGGGACCAACGGATTTATGCGCCTTCCGAAGCACGGAGTAGCTCGAGATAATTATTTTTTGACCACCCATTCTGTGACTGATACTTGTGAAACTCTATCTTAAGCTATTTCTTATTAAATTGGACTAAAACAATACTTATCTAATATTTCTCTATTGTCTGTCTCACAGACTAAATAATTTTTTTTTTTTAACCTGTTGTCATCCCTATTGTTAATAGTAAGAATATTATTATAATTTCTTGTTTCAAATTCTCGTCTATTGTTTAAAAATATAACATTTTCTCGAGTAGTTATTGAGGATACGAGTACGCATGTTTTAACTAAATCTTTTTTCTGTGTAAAACCTTTTTTGAAAAATCCCTATGTCAATGTTTCTTCTTAATACAACGTATTCTTTGTATGAGGTAGTATTTAAAAAAAAACCTCACTAGATGGCGACTCTAGCGAAAGTTGATTTTTGCGGGAAACGAATGGACTAAAGATAGTCATTTCCGTGCCTTTTAACTAACATATTAACAAAACTGAAATTTGCAAAATTCGAAACTTAGATATCAATACAAATACGAAAACATTTTAATGGGAGTGCAATAGATTTTAAAACAAGACAATTGGTCCCCTGATTGTTTTGTTACTTTACGTTCGTGCGTTCATAAAACGGTCATGATATGACACGATGTATAACGTCCTTTTTATCTATTACTGAAATCTGTACTTACAGCCAGTTGAAGAAACGTCCATTAAATCTTTCATTAATTTACAGTGACATTACCCATACAATTTTGACATTCATTAGAGCTTAAAGAAGTCATTAAACCTTAATGAACGTTTGTGCAACTCACCGTTAGTTTTCTAAGTATTAAGTCCCGTAGATTGCTAATGCCCTAGATAACGCCCGCGTGACGTCATATGAAAATAGAAAGTATAGATAGCACAAAAGGCAAGGGATAAATAATTATTGTTATTTTAATTTAATAATTTTTAGTTTGTTAGTTTATTGCATGAAGTTTTGGAAAAGAGTAAATGTATATGTAAATATTGAGGTATATGGAAACTGAAAACATGAAAAAAATAACATTTACTTTGTAATAATAACGCGATAACGTTTTTTTAAAACATAACTAAAAGTATTAATGAAATGAGAGACATTAAATATATTTATTATTAGTAACATTACGTTTACTTATAATATCAGTTGCTATTTTAGTCAACTATAATAAGTAATAACCAGAGGTCGGAATTAGGTAGAGTTATTTATGTACTTGCATCGAAATGTTGATATTAATGTGGACCTTCCCTACAAATGTGGCAACATCGCGCGTATTGGTCTTCTTGCAACTTTGGATCATCCGATGTCATTGATGTAAGTTAGGCAACGTCGTGCGTGCAGTAGTTATAAATTGTGTAAAAGTAAATAACTTTTTATTAAAAAAATCACGGGATTTCTTCTGCTCATTAAAATTAATCTCGAGGGTTTGAGGCATATCCACTTTATTCTTTCGCTGTATGAAATCAGTGTAAGTACATGAATAACTCTACCTAATTCCGACCACTGGTAATAACAAATATTAACAATAACAATCGAAATCAACAAAAATATAACATAAATTGTGTGTGATTTCAACACAACCCAACTCAATAAGTGTACTTGTTAACCAGTGTTTATTTGTTGACGGTACTGAATTTTAACGCAATCAGACGTCATCAAAATGGCGGTCAAGCGCATTAGCAATTTGTGGGGATTATATACCTAACAAAATTTAAATGTGCCCGATTAATGTTTTTGCTTTTCAACATTTACCGTAACATAACAATAATAAAAAAATAAAATTTATAATTGGAGCATTATATAAGAGCATAATATATATCAAACGAATTTAGTTTCTTGTCTTTTAACATCTACATAATAAGGAAAGATACGGTGCTATACTAATTATACCTACTTCATATTATTTAAGGTTATTTCGTGATCAATACGCCAACTCTATAAAAGAACGGTTCAGTAGAATTATCTTTATAGAAAGTCCATTTTGATATATTTCTTTTTCAACAAAAAATAGCAGTCTTCAATATTATTTAATAACCTACAGAAAAGTTTCGCCCGATTTCAATGGAAGTTTCTTAAATAATAGGGATGTTTTGTTTTCTGTCCGTGTCGATTATATTATTCAAGAATATTAAACGTCAATTTTATGCGTAATCAATAAATTACGCCGACAAATTGAGTTGAAATGTCGCATGACATCACACCCTTGTACATTTTTTTAATATAGTTGCGACGTAGTGAGCCCCAACTCAGCCTCAACTTTAACGCCTATTAGCTAAGCAATTTCTTGTTAAATTCAATAAAAAAATGCGTATGGGTGTATCAGAATCTGATAGCAAAAAAAAGAAATAATGTGTGTCATACATAACACATATGCGTTGTATTTTCACCTTATTGTTTTTAAAAATAAGACTCTTGTAAATTTTAATCTTGTTTTCTACTGCTAAAAACGACTTTTGTAGAAGTGTACCGTATCTTCCTAATTTTTATTAAATATTTATTACTAATTAAAATTGTTGACATAATTACACCAACACAATGCATAATAAATGATATTTGTAAATAAATAAAACATTTTTGACAACTTAAATACATAGTTTTATTTAAAATCAAAATAATAATATTATAAATATGATATTATCAGCCTTATTTTATGAACTATATCATGAATACATTACAATAAAATTACTCGGACATATTTCACAATCGTGTAATTCTTTGATTTCATTTTCTTTTTTTTTTGTTTGTTACATGGCGCCATTTTGGTATTGCCTCGCTGTTTTATTTGAAAATGTATCATAATGGATTAAGATACTTTGTTTTTAATTTACATGTTTGAATTGAATTTCATTAAACTTTTATACCATTGCAATATCTGCTACCAGTTAATTTTTTTTTTATCATTCAACCTATTTCGAATAACCTCTCGAAATACGTTTTATTAAACCCATATAGTCAGTTGCTAAGAGCAATGGTAACCTATTTTATAGGAAAAATAATTTCGCAGCGAGTGCGATGCAATATGGCATCATTTGACAAATACCTGATTCCGCTACATAGAAGCGTCATCTTTACGCCGTTAGCACACCGACGTATCCGCTTACGAAAGCGAAATACCAGCGAAACATCTGCGTGTGTGAAACAGTACTGACAAGGCAGCCATTTCGTCGAGCGAGATAGAGCGAGACAAAGAACATACAAAACATTGCCATACAACTGACAGTTTTTGTTCCCATTTCGCTTACGCATGCGATTCCGTAGGTACTCACGGCGTTCAAAATGATTCCTGGTACAATTTAAACAAAAAAAAAATAAGCAGCATTCAAATTTATGAAAGCAGATCTTAACATATTAAAGTTTCTTCGTCAATTTGAATATGCAATTAAAATTGGATTTTTCCAACTTTAAATTTTAATGATTTCAATTGTATCCAATTTAATGAATATATACTTTTATTAATTATTATATACAATATTGGATAAAAATAATCAACTAAGCAATACATATCTCAGTGCTAGTTTTATGTTAAAAGCCAATAAAATTATTTACAACTCGAAGACTGGTCTTCTCTAGCTCTAAAACAAATATATTGTGTTAATAAACCTTTTTGTTTGGATTACTATCCATATTTATAAATTTATAATGGTGCATACAGATTGTGCGAATGAAGGGTCAACAAATGTTGAACAGTATAATCAAAAATGAACCTTATCCTTATACCAATAAGGACCACAGAAGCCAATTGCTAGTATTTATTGTCGAATACAGCGAATTGACTTTGTTAGCCTTTATATGCTTAGATATAAAGCATTGACTATATTATTTCACTTTTGTTTGCTACAGCTGTAGGCATCATTAATAAACTATGAGTGGTTTAAACGAAAGCCATGGCACTGAATACCATTATGTGGACAAATTATTTTCAACCTTATTTACATTGTAATAATAATTTAATTGCATTTATGTAACATCCTGTGATACATAGAAATATCATCTGGTATGTCATTGGTCACCACCAGCTTTAAATCAATTGAAATAATTTTCAAGGCATAATAATTATGTATTACACAGTAATACAAGCATCGAATTATAAACAACACATTTTTAAGGTTAGTGCATATCTGACAGAATATCCACCGACTATGTCACTGACTACGACAACAGATTTATATTGAGTGTGTAAAATCGAATATCATACCATATGATTTAATTCTGACGTTTGTCGACCGTCAGATATGCACTAACCGCTACTCTTACAAATTTAATTGTGAGTAAAATTACATTTCTTTATCAAACTTGACATAAGCTTAGTGGTTTGACTGTAAAAACAACAGACACAGTTACATTCACATATATAATGTTATTAATAGAATGAGATTATAAAATAATAGTTGTTGAATAGCAATAAAGTTTTTGCATATTAAAATCAAATAACTTGATATAACAAAAGTTAAAAGAAAATGTCATGTTTTGTTTGATATTGTTAGTATTGTTGTGTGAATAAAATAGTTACTAATTTCAGTTGAAGTGTATGTATTTTTATTGTGTTGTCTTAAATAAAAATAAAAATTAACTTGTTCACTACAAAAATTCTTCTAAGACCCATTACATACAATCCAACTGTAAATTCAATACTAACTATGCAAAAAAGTTACATTAATAGATCACTGGCAAATCAAGTCACACAATAATAATTGCTAACATAATTGGTTGCTGATCGCTGCCCTAAATATATCAAACTACAATGTCCAATGACACCTAATATGTGTAACAGTCTAATACGACACCGGTACTTGCGGCATCATAGCTGTGTGTGTATAAACACAGTGATTTTCCATCGTCTTCATCGGCTGCATTTGTGGGTGAGGCATAATATTAGGTATTGGTTGTGGCGGAGGCGGATTCTGTTCAGGTGGTTTTTTATTTTTCTTCTCGCATTTCTTGAACTTAATACCAAGCTTATTCAATAATATTAATCGCAACGATTCCTTTCCTCCTTTGAAATTTAACTCATGTTTGGCTGATGCTAAAATTTTACCCAACGTTGGTACCTCTTTTCTGACCGAATATCCATTCACTATACCACGTAAAGCACACAATTGAAAGTAATCAAGTTGCACTTTCGTTTTGCGTACTCGTTTCTTCTTAGGACCTGTCATTTTAGTTTGAGTTGCTTCGGCATGCAATCCATCCCTTTTTATGCGTTTTATTGTGCTTTCAGATAGCCCTGTGGCCGCGCACGCCCTTTTGACTACATTCTCGACAGGAAAAGCGTAGCCTCTATTCTGTTTTTCACTTTCAAAAAACTTTATCACTTTAAAAATAATTTCTTTCGCCTGCCCGTCAATAGCTTCCTTCTTTTTTTTGTCATTCTTCGGTTTTTTTTCTTCAGATTTAACTTGTATTTGAGGTTCTTGTTGTTGTACTTGAGGCACTTGAGGCACCTGTTGGGGCTCAGGCGGCCCCAGTTGTGTTAAAACTGTCTGAGTTTGATTGTGATGAGAAGGTGGCTGCATAGGTACTAGGAGATTCAACACTGGCACTTCATGAACTAGAGCTTGCGATTGATGTATAATTTCGTGCGTCGTCATCTTGTAATATTGAAAATAGCACTGCTATAAAAAGTTTTTTACTTTTTTGTAATAATTAGTGCTCATGAAGAAGCACAAAGTGATTGAAATAACAAAAACATCAGTCAACAAAGGCAAAATTCAGTCGCCATTTGACCATAGACTAAAATAGACAATATAGAGTTATTATTATGACTTTACTAGTGATGTCGATTAGTAAAATGTAGCGTTCTTAAATTCTCTTTGGGCATTATGAATAAATCCAATAAAACTAAAACTTAAAAATACCTACTAATTTGTCAAATATTTTATCTTTTTTTTTCGAACAAATTCACCACGGATCCGGTGATCGATGTTGCTAGAATTTGAATAATCAGATCGATACTATTTATTCATAATATATAGTCTGTGAAATAGTTCATTCACTTCTTTATGCTCTGTGAATCATTCTGTCATTCGTGTATCATTCATTCAACTACTGTTTGTAAACATTTTATTTCTTTTCGAATTGAAATAAATAAATGTGTTTATAAATCTTAATAAGAAACATGGATGACTCTTCCGAATTAGTTTTAAAAAAGATTTGCTGCACATGTCTTAGTCGCGACCGTAAATTATCACAATTGTGCAGATTAAAAGAAGGAATAAATAATTTATATTTATTGCTGTCTCAAGATTCTGAAGCATACAGAGTAAGTTGTATTTATATTAAACTAGCTAGGAAGATTTCTGCAATGGGGTCAGCCGGCCTTTTTCCTTTAAATTATTGGCGTTGCCCTCAGTGGCGTAATACAGTTGGAAGGGATCCCCGGTTAGAGGAGACTCCTCACTTCTGACATTTATTATTATGCAATTAGTAAAATAAACTTTTAATACCCGATGAATTTGCCACGGACCTCAAACGGTATAGTTACGCCACTGGTTGCCCTCGTGGATTTCACCAGAATCCAGTTTTCGCTCAGTGTATTTCATAATTTATAGACTTGGTGCCCAAAAATTTAATATAAGTATCTATAGGGAAGCCTTGACCCCTTGAGTTGAATCTAAAGCGATTGTTTTCTGTAGCCCCCTTCTTAAAATAATGTCCCCCAAAACAATCCTCTTAACAGAATGTACATCACTACATAGTATAAAACAAAGTCACTTTCTTGTCTCTATATATGCAAAAATAGATAGAGCAATTCTTGAGGAGGTTTTAGTGTAGAGTAAGTTTAGATTTTATACAAACTGACAATAGTACAACGATATTAGTTCAATTTGTCAGAAAAAATTAAAGCGCTTTGGGAGTGCTGCAAAAAACTTTTGAGTTATAACAAAAACATTGTATGGTGGAATTGTCCCTCTTTAATAGATCTACAAAAAAGTCTGTGGTGATATATGTCGTATATTCCAAGGATAACCCACAATAACCATTTTTCATGTATACTTAAAACTGTAAAATGATGGGTTATTTACAAACCTATTTTTAACAATACAGTATTGATCCTTATTCTAATAAATTAGTTAGATACGTTATGCATGTAATGTAGATCAAAATTGCCTTTTACACTATATAAAAAAAATTAATAACTAATGAGTTATCGAAAAATAAAAATATCTGGGCGAGCTATTAAATATCGATGAATAAAAATGAATCGCCGAAACGTATGTACGCGCATAACTTCCGAATTCCAGTTCCAACTGCACCAAATTTTTATTTTTTTTGTATTCCATGATTCATGACACGGTTTGTATATAAGATTTGAAAAAAAACGGGTATAAGGCGATACGAAGTTCGCCAGGTCAGGTAGGTCAAAAATAAATCTCTATTTTAAAGTCTATCGCAATTCCTTTCATTTTGAGCTACTTTACTATTTAATATTAACTTGAGTTACTAAGATTTTATTATGTTTCTTGGTCATCTATGAAAGCTACATAATTCCACAAATCGCTCTTAAAACATTACACCTTTGAAAGAGATTGTGATAGATTTTGAAATAACAATTAGGCCACAGTTGTGATATTTTTAAGGGTAGCATTTTCCATATTTAGGAAACTTTCAAATGAGCTGGGATCAATTGAGCAATTTCTAATTGGTCAAGCTGTTTTTGTTGATGATAATACTCAATTAGTTATTAATTGCTTATATACAGCCAGTTGCACAGACGGCCATTAAAATTGTCATTGGTTTAAAGCAACATTGCCGATACAAATTTGACATTCTGTGGAGTTTAAAGACGTCATTAAACCTTAATGAACGTTTGTGCAACTTACTGTTTATGTTTTTATTATTATATATTTGCATATGCAAAGTGGCGCTTAGGGATGTTGGCTTAATTTATTTGCCTGTCGGTCAGACAGATTATTGATATATATTAAACATATATTTTCATGTGACGTCACACATTTGGACACTTTCAACATAGTTGTGACACAGGGAGCCTCAACTCAACTTTAATGCCTGTTATCTAAGCCACGAAGTAAAAAAATATGTATCTAACATTTTACTATTATCTGACTGACGGACTAAACAGAATATCGTTTTTCTTTTTTTGTTTCTGTACCTAAACATTAAAATGGGGATCCTGTTACTAACATTTTGCAGTGTGTCTGTCCACCAGGCTGTATGTCTCATTATTTATGAAAGTAAGACAGTTGAAATTTTCAAAGATGATGTATTTCTGTTGCCCCTTCAACAGCAAATACCAAGAAATCTGAATAAAATAAATATTTAAGGGGGCTCTCATACAACAAATGCGGTTTCTTTGCTTGTGTTTGCTCAATATTGATAAGGGCAACAGTTGCACAAACATCCATTAAGATATAAGGACGCCTTTAAGCTCTAATGAATGTCAAATTGGTATGGGTAATGTCGCTTTAAACTAATGACAATTTTAATGGATGTTTGTACAACTGGCTGATAGTAACTTAAAAATAAATAATTTAAATAAAACTTAATAAATATTTAAGGAGCACTTCCATTAAACGAACTTGATTTTCTCGCTCGATTCCAATACAGAACCAATGGTCTTGTATTATACATAAAAACCCTCCTTTTGAATCACCCTATCTATGAAAAAAAACCGTATCAAAATCCGTTGCGTAGTTTTAAATATTTAAGCATACATACGGATATAGGGACAGAGAAAGCGACTTTGTTTTATACTATGTAGTGATGTTACTATATTCCTTAATTAGAGAAGCTCGGTGGCGAAGAGGTTAGCGCCGCGGCCTGCGATCGTTGTTGTTAAGCAACTTTCGCAAAAGTCGGTCACGGGATGGGTGACCAAAATTTTTTTATCTCGAGCTGCTTTGTGCTTGGGAAGACACGTTAAGCCGTTGGTCCCGGCTGTATTTGCAGTCGTTAATACCCTCCAATCCGCATTGGGCCAGCGTGGAGGGTCATGGCCCATCCTCCTTAACCATCCATAAGGAAGGCCTGAGCCCCTACAGTGGGGACGTAAAAGGGCTGGTTGTTCGACTCGTGCTTGATTGTTTTTTTTTTTTAACTAGTCATCATCCCCATTGACCACAGATCAGTGCTTTTTTTCTGTTTGCTATTGTTTGAATTGTGCCTTATTAAAAAATATGAAATATCCACAGGAAGGCTTCTATAAAGATACAGCCAGTTGGCATATATGCTGGGAGTGCTGGGCCATCATGAGGAGGATCAGCAGTTTCCAGAGCCAGGCGTGTATCGCACAACGACACTTGACCGGTATTGTGGAAGGAAGAACTGATGTAAGCTGTAGTCCAGTTGCCAAACAGAAAGAATTTTGTACATTGACCTTTGTGCATACAGATATCGTCAACATTTTAAGTTTACTTAACTGTGACAGAATTGGGTAGATGCATCTGTGCCATCCATAAATTACGTCACACGTTAGGAGGGGGGGGGAGGTCGACGAAATGTGACATTAGAACAATATTTAGTAGAATTTGCATAGACAAACATATGACAGGGGGGGAGGGGGGTATTAAAAAACATGAATTTTGTGTGACGTAATTTATGGACGGCCCCTAATATGATTGCGCACGAGTAAATAAAATATATAATGGTGGGTCATTACGAATTCTGTCTGTTTGGCGATTGGAGTATAATATAATTAACATATAATATAATCAATGTCTCAACGGTTAGAGCAGTGTTTGTAAACATGTAAGGCCTTTAATGTTCAGACACAATTTAATCAATTATATAATAATAATAAAAAATGACTTCCCACATTTTTACAGCACAGTGTAATACAGAAGTGGTAGTTACAACATCTTCAAGAAATAAGATATATATCGAGTCCACAATACTGTGTTTGAAACCACGTACAAGTATTCTTTGATACCCTGTCTCCCAATTTTGTATCTAGTTTGGTATTTCTTTAAACTTGTGCCTTGTGGTGTGTGCCTTGTGGAGTGGTTGTGCCCGCGGCTTTATGCGAATGGAAAGTATCCTAAGGTTCTTTTCTCATGGCTAGATGCGATGTTATTCGATATGAATGAACGATATCACACGAATCGCATGCACTTATAAAATGTATGGAAAAACTCAGGTGTTTGCTCATGAGATTGTACTATCTGTCAATATCGGTCACAAATCTCGGTCTGCGGTATCACTTCAAATGTATGAAGGTGGTAGAACGCTCGATCTGCTTTTGATTTTCTGTTCAATAATATAGAGGAACGATTCATTTGCTCAAACTTACCATATCATCAAAATATATTGAATTTTACAAAAAAATACAAAATAATACATACAGAAAACTATAATAAACATCCAACTAACCGCAATCTTATTCGTTTTAAGGTTCTTCGAAATTGCTGCAGTCGTATGTGTAGGGATGCTAAGCGACGCTTCTTCCATAGCTCTCTTACTGATCGCAATCCTACTGATGCCTGGCGGTTTTTGCGCTCTGTAGGAGTGGGGAAATCTACTGCTACTGTGTCTACCAATGTAGATTTAAACGTCCTTAACAGACACTTCTCCCTTCCTCCTTCTACTATCGATGGTGACATAAAGGATTCTACGCTCGCAGAACTTTCACTGGTTCCGAGGCCAGACTGCACATCTTTTGTCTTTTCAAAAATATCCGAAACTGACATTAAAAATACTATTCAATCCATTTCTTCCGAGGCTGCTGGCGAGGACAACCTAAGCGTAAGAATGTTTACCCCTATTTTATCTTTTCTCCTTCCTATACTTGTTCACATACTTAACTTCTCACTTGAATCCGGTTCTTTTCCCAAAATTTGGAAGATGGCGCACATTATTCCACTGCCTAAAGTATCTAATCCTTCAGTCCCATCTCATTTTCGTCCTATTTCTATTCTTCCCCTTCTCTCTAAACTTCTTGAGCATATTGTTCATAAGCAATTATCAACTTTTCTTTTTTCTAATTCCCTTTTGAATAGGTACCAATCCGGTTTCCGCCCTGGTCACAGTACTGTAACAGCTTTAATAAACATTACTGATGATATTCGTTGGGCTATGGAGAATAAAGCTCTTACAGTTCTAATTCTTCTAGATTTCAGCAGTGCTTTTAATTCTGTCGATTTTGACATTCTTCTCGCTATTCTTCGTTCTTGCAATATCTCTCCTTCTGTTCTCTCATGGTTTGATTCCTACCTTCGGGGACGCACGCAACGTGTGCGTCTTGATAATAAATCTTCTGATTGGTGCGATCTCGGTGCGGGTGTTCCTCAGGGTGCTGTTCTCTCACCTCTCTTATTTTCCATTTTCATTAACTCGGTTACTAAAGTTATATCTTCCAACTTCCACCTCTATGCAGACGACTTGCAGCTTTATCGACACTTTAAAATAGAAGACTGTAACTCGGCACTGGTAGCTATTAATAACGATTTGGATCGCATTAGTACTTGGGCAAAATCGTTTGGCCTCATGCTTAACCCGAGTAAATCTCAGGCCATTGTGATAGGTAGCAGGTTTAATATTAATTCTATTTCTGCATTATCTTTACCACCCCTGCTTTTGGATGGGACTCAGATCCAGTTAACAGACACCGTAAAAAATCTTGGAATTACAATGGATTCAAATCTATCATGGACTGTCCATGTATCTGAGGTTAGTCGTAGGACCTTCTTCTCATTTCACACACTTAAATGCCTTCAACATTTTTTACCTTTTAAAACTAAAGTATTACTAGCACAATCCTTAATTATACCTCTTCTTGACTATGCAGATGCATGTTACTTGGATGCCACTGAGGAGTTATTAAACAAACTTGAACGACTTCAAAATCTAGCGATTAGATTTATTTATGGTCTTCGTAAGTATGATCATGTGTCACATTTACGTAAGCAGCTCATGTGGCTTCCCATTCGTCAGCGTAGAAATGTCAGGATTGTCTGTCTTCTGTTCAACATCCTGTATAATCCCGTCTATCCTTCCTATCTGCGTGAGCGTTTCTCCTTTCTCCGTTCTCCTGATGCTCTTTGCAGATCTCACCTTAAGTCCATTCTTCAAACTCCTTCTCACAAAACGGATTTTGCTTCATATTCCTTCACTGTTCATGCTGCTAGACTCTGGAACTCTCTACCTGCCGATATACGTGACAGTCGCACTATTTCTGTGTTCAAAAAAAGAGTAAAGAATCATTATCTTTCTTGTTGTTGATATTGGAGAGTGTAGGTGTTATAATCTTTATATATTATAGATAGATATATATATTATTATTTATATTATGTTTGCACCGTTATGTATTTTTATTTTCTCTCTTTCCCGGTATTTGAATTTGTTATTTATATTCCATATGAATTTATTTAGGAGGTACACACTGACTACCTTATTGTATTTTTTTTTCCTGTTTTGGGCCTGCTGGTAGAAATTTCAATTTGAAATAAGCAGTGCCCTTGTACTAATGTCTGTTACATTTGTTCATATGAAATTGTATGTGTGTAAAAATCCAATTTGATCAAACATATAATAATAACTAGCTTGTGCCCGCGACTTCGTCCGCGTGGTAAAGATAATTTGAGCAGCATTTCTAACGAATATTTATTCATTAAAAGTTGCCCGAAAAGTACCTGTATAAACTTTCTTGCCATATTTTATCCCCTTAGGGGTGGAATGTACAAAAATAATTCTTAGGGGATGCCTACGTCATAGTAGCTTTATGCATGCAAAGTCTCAGCCCGATCGGTTTACAATTGAAAAAGTTTCTTACAAACTTTCATCCCCTATTTTATCCTCTTGGGGGTAGAATTGATTAAAATCCTTTCTTAGCGGATGCCTACGCCATAACATCTACCTCCATGCCAAATATCATCGATCCGATCCGTCCAGTGGTTTGGGCTGTGAGTTGATAGATCACTATGTCAGTCAGTCACCTTTGAGTTATATATATTTAGATAAAAAAATATTTCCCACATTGTTGCACAGTGTAATACAGAAGTGGTAGTAACAACATCTTCAAGAAATATATATAAACATATCATATCTCTAGCAATTTCTTGCAAGAAATTATGATAAATTTAATTAATACAGATTACGATTGGTCATTTGACTGTTGGGCAAATTAATTTTCTCTAAACATGTTTTATTCATCAATTTAATTTGCCATGTGACATTTCGAACCGTGACGTCACATTTCAATAGACATGAGTTCAAGTGGCACTCGAAGATGTTGAAAAAAAGTTTCTTCTTCTTCTTTCGTCGGGCGTCACCGCAAATCGACGTCAAAGTTGCTTAAAATTGATTGTTTCTAACAAACTGTCATTTAATATTAATGAAAAATGCTTAAAAATCCATATATATCTTAAAATGTTTGTAAAAATATTTCTTTCGGCTGTGTGGGTGGATTGCTTGACCATTGATGAGAATACGTTCTGTAGTAGCGAAAAAGTAGCAATTGATTGAAAAATGCGTCAGTCCTGTTAGGTCCTGGGTAGCTCAGTGGTCAGAGCAGTTGCCCGGCTTGCGAAATGTCGTGAATTCGAATCCCATCTCAGAGTACCAGGGACAAAGAAGAATTTTAAGCATTTTCCATTAAGAATATTTTCCAGTATAGCATTGTGAATGCAAAATTATTCAAATATTATAAAAAAATTGTCTTTTGCCAAAATATGATCGATATTTTCTTAGACCCCCAAACATATGTATCATGGAGCATAGTTTGAGAGACACTGCGCTAAGGATACCAAATCATATATCTATTTAATGTTCTATCTTTACAGTTGAAACTGCTGAATGCTTGTCTATCACATCTCACGAAATCATATAAATCTACGCTTGATTGTACTATAGTTGGAACTGATTGGATGTCTGATAATTTTATCGATTGCGGACCTGAGTTAAAGGGGGACAGTGACGAAGACATACCACTGTCTCTTTTACATAATAACGAAACAGATGATATAGTACATTCTGTTGATGGGAAATGTAAAGATTTAAATATACAACCTCTATCTGAAAAAGGCTTAAGAAAAACAGCGGACAGTTTCAAGAAAAAAAAGAAAACTAAATGTTCAGTCGAAAAAAGTTTTAATGACGTTATAGATAAGGAACTGTTTTGTACTATTAAAATGACTGAAATGGAATTCGAAGAGAGTAGGTTAAGAAGGAAATTGGATGTGGTTTACACAGAATCTTTATTCAAATGTGAGTCTTGTATAGAAGGGTATAAGTGTCAAGTTGAATTGGACAGTCATATTTTGGATTTGCACAGTGAGGTGAGTGTCTTTATATTAATGCTAATTTTTGCCCGCGACTTCGTCCGCGTGGTAAAGTTACCTTAAGCAGCATTTCTAACGAATATTTATTCATTATATCGTGTAAAATACCTGAATTAAAGTTTCATCCCCTATTTTATCCCCTTAGTAATGAAATTTATCAATTTACTTTCTTAGGAGATGCCTACGTCATAGTAGCTTTATGCATGTAAAGTCTCAGCTCGATCGATTTAAAATTGACAAAGTTTCATACAAAATTTCATCCCCTATTTTATCCCCTTGGGGGTAGAATTTATCAAAATCTTTTCTTAGCGGATGCCTACGTCATAACATCTACCTGTATGCCAAATTTTAGCCCGATCCGTCCAGTGGTTAGGGCTGTGCGTTGATAGATCACTATGTCAGTCAGTCACCTTTGAGTTATATATATATAGATTATTATAAAGAGAAAAAATTTGATTGTTTGTTTGTTTGCAACGAATAGGCTCTGAAACTACTGGACTGATTTTAGAAAACTTAAAGATAATTAATTTATATTTTTGTGTAGTAAGTTTTAAACTCGACTAATAATTTGCTGTGAAAATGAGTCTTATTGTCGATAACGGTAAGGTATATAATACTGTGCACTATGTATGTACTTGAACCATTCTGATCCGACATAATATATGCGGAATATATTCGGTTCGAGGATTTCTATTTTTTTACCTACACGACATGGTAAAGAACTAAAGGACAAAACTTCTTATGGAAAATTTATGTTGCAATATAAGTCAAAGAAATCCTATGAAAAATGTGTTTAATAATAAAGCAATGCAGCTTCAAATCATAAATATTTATTTTATAAACTATATTTGCTATAAAAATAGGTAATATTATGGTATGGAAACACCAAGATCTCTCTCTCTATTCCGTTTACCTTTGCCTGCGTAAATTAATATTATGTAGCTTCCCATAGGTGAAATTATTTTATAGTCAAAGCAATAGTTTTGGAGCATATAAGGAGCAAGTATTAAAAAAATATATATTAATTAAGCACCTCACTAGATGGCGACTCTAGCAAAAGTTGATTTTTGCAGGAAACGAATGGACTAAAGGTAGTCATTTCCGTTCCTTTTAACTAACATATTAAAAAACTGAAATTTGCAAAGTTCGAAACTCAGATATCAATACAAATACGAAAAAGTACAAATAGAATATTAGTTTGAGTTTACTATATTGAAAATTAATATTATTTAATTTGAAATAAAACAATTTAGTTTTAAACATGATTAATTTATTTTCAGAAACCTAAACATAAACAGTGTGATATATGCCTTGTCTTTGTAAAAAAGTCTATGATAAATGACCATAGAGAGCAACACCATTTCAAGTACAATTGTCAGTTTTGTGATTACGTTGCCTACAGTTTGATCGAAGTTTCGAAGCATCTAGAAGTTGAACATAATCTTGAAGTCGCCGTACCGAAAATTAAGGTATTTTTTTAGAGTTCCGCACCCAAATTGTAAGAACGGAACCCTATTACTGAGACTCTGTTGTCCGTCCGTCTGTCACCAAAATGTGGATACATTTATATTGCAGTTAGAATGTAGATCAGAGGTTCCCAAACAATTTTTTCTTGTAGACCATTTTAAAAAAGTTACTGGTTTCGGTGGACCCCCCTGCTGCTACATTTTTACCATATTTCCAAAATGTACAATAAACCTCTATTTTTATTTCACGTCAACGTAAACCCCCGTTGAATCCCTCGTGGACCCCTGGGGGTCCACCTGGACCACTTAGGGAATCACTGTTGTAGATAGTATTTTTTAAAGCGGCAACACAAACATACCATCTGTGAAAAAAAATTAACTATTCAACTATTACGGTTCATGAGATCCGGTATGGTGACAAACGGACAGACAGCGGAGTCTCGGAGATTTACGCTCTAGGTACGGAACCCTAAAAATGGTTCTAAAGTACATTTTCAAGGTGGACAGAAAGATAATTTATATTTTTAGGGTCATAAGAAAACTAATGCAATCCTTCGACCTGGTTCAAAACCGCGTAGGAACCAAGCCATGATGGACAAACGGACACCACACGGTTATATGTGTATGGAGTGCAATAAATATTTCGAGTGAGTATATTATCAACAGCGATGGATCTAATGAAGCTAATAATCGCTCGTTTTAAACGTATATGTTAATATGGATACGACGTACGTCAATGCAGAACCTTTTAAATGCATAAAAGTAAATTTTACTGCTCGAAACCGCAGTGATAATCGCGCTCGGTATGCGATACGTTTGTTAAGCAACTTTCGCAAAGGCCGGTCATAGGATGGGTGACCAAAAAATATCTCGTGCTACTCTGTGCTTCGGAAGGTAAGTTAAGCCGTTGGTCCCGGCTGCACTTGCGGTCGTTAATGCCGTCCGAACCTCATTGGGCCAGCGTGGAGGGTTATGGCCCATCCTCCTTAACCATCTTGAACCCCTGCAGTGGGAACTTGAAAGGGCTGATGATTATACCTTAAAACAGGATATGGGCATTTTAAAAGACTCTTTTCATATTTTACGCCGATGATATCTGAAGATAGTTAAATTTTATGGTTCTCTATAAATTTGATGGAGTGAAGTTTTTTTTTGATCTGCAGTAACAAAAATCAAAGATGGAAACATATCCAGAGGCATCATAGAGAAGGCTATAAGTGTACTACTTGTGGGAAGAGGTTTGCGTTCAAAAATAACTTGAGCCGGCATGAGCAGTAAGTTTTTTTTTCTTAAAACAAAATGCTTAAAAAGTCCACTTGGTCCCTGGCATCCTGAGATGGGAATCGAACCCACGACCTTTCGACGCTGAGTTGCCCAGGACCTAACATCTGACGGACAAACAAACAAAAATTAGTCGTCATCCCTATTATGAGGGCCTAGACTAACAGACTAATTTTTAAATCTATCACAATCCCTTACAAATGTATAGCATGTAATATATTTTTAATTTAATTATAATTTATTCTAATCATTTTTTATTATTAATATTGCCATTGAAATTCTACATATACTTATATTTGAAATAATTTATTTTATATTTATTAATAATTATGACATTAGGGACTGTCCATAAATCACGTCACACTAAATGCAGGACTTTAATCCTCACCCCCCCCCCCCTCCTGTCACCTATTCATCTATACAAATTTTACTAAATATTGTTTTCATGTTACAGTTCCTCGACCCCCTCCCCCCCTCCTAAAGTGTGACGTAATTTTTTGATGACCCTTTATAACAGGTTATATCATATACTTACCTATACTCCATTCATTATAACATTAGAAAAAAGAGGGTCATAGAAGCAGCACTTCAGAACATTCTATTTTCAAGATTATTATTATTTTTACGATACCTCAGGGTTGAGATGAGGCCAGCATTTTCTTAATTCTATTATGAATAAATCATAATCTGACAAAATTAAAAAGCTGTACTGCGGAAACGTTTAAAGGGGTTAATAGGCAACGTTTTAAAATTGCTAGAGTTATAGTGACATGAGAATCGTGCCGAAACTATCCAACCCTGCTTCTTTAGGTTCTTTCAGATGAACACTTTTTATTGTAATAATTATTAAATTATTTAAGATAATCAAATACTCAAAAATTTGTTTAATAGATGGCTTAAATGATAACAGTTAAGTATAGCAGCTGGTATTTAAGTGGATATGTAGCAAATTAGCCGTCAGTCTTTAAAGTAACATGATTATTGATATCTTGTCACAAAGTGTACCATAAAAAGAACCTGATTTAACTTCTGTCTAATGCTATAATCAATGGAGTATAGTGTAACATTCTCTGTTAAAGGGCTAAAAAAGAATTTGATTTGATTATTTGAAGCGATTTGTGGAATTATACAATTTTTGAATCCGCAATGATGACTACCTAAAAACGCTTCCTCCGCCAGTCGAACATTTGCAGATAGCATTGCGTTTGATACTTTTCAATAGCTATCAAAGTGTAGCAGATGGACTGTAGGCTGGATTTTAAAAGCGGGCAGGTAGCAGAGTAAAACACTTGGTTCGGAGAAACTCGGAGAACGTTCGAAGGCAGAACATGCTTTATTGCGAACAATCGATTACTTATGTACAATTTGGTTGATCGCACTTAGCTCATATACAAATCAGGCAATCTTATTAGATTGCTTAGAGTGGGGGTACGCTACCCAGCACCGCGCGGGGAGGGGAAGGTTTCGCTGTTTCTCCGCTGGTGGCGCTGTTGTCGCGGCGTGGCTAAATGTCCTTTACACAAAGATATTTGCTTCTAACGCTTGATTTTAACGATTCTAAGTAACGTTAAACGATAAGGTTCATTCAATATCTTTCAATAAAAGAAGTAAATATCTTACAAATGTCAAATTGAAAGGGATTGCGACAGATTTTGCATATGAAAATTGGTCCCCCATTTGTCCACGATCGAAAATTCGGAATATTTCAAGTCTCCCTTATAACTTAGTTAAAGGCATACTCGTAAAGATTATCCGCATCAGAGGCATTATTGCACCCCATTGCAAGTAAAAATAAATATATAATAAGGGTAAATTAAGTAATGATGATGAACTGCTGGTGGCTCGATGACATAGTGGTAAGGAGTCATCCATAAATTACGTCACACTTTAGGAGGGGGGGGTCGACGAACTGTGACATTAGAACAATATTTAATAGAATTTTTAGGAGGGGGGGGGGGATTTAAAAAATATTTAATTTTGTGTGACGTAATTTATGGACGGCCCCTTAGTGCACTCTGTCTTCGAGACGTTTAGTAAGCATCTGCTATCTTTAATACATGGTGGTGAGTCATGGCCCATTCCTTGACCTGATTCGATTGCGTCCACAGGGAATGTCTGAGCCCAAGAAGTGGGGGCATTACTAGTCTAGTGATAATAAAGTACTGCTTCTCTATACGTACTGATAATTTTATGGAACAACTCTTAAACGGTTCCATCGCGTTTGTATTTAGTTTTATTGACGTTTCGGACCCTTTACGGGTTCCGTGTTCACATAAGACTAAGGCGTTGATTGTCTTTTTAATGAAGAGTATAGTTACCTTCAAAACTATTGGCCACATTCACAATATTTATTTTTTATATTTTATGGCAACGTTTACATTTGTTAAATTAAATTATTTAAAAAAATACATTTGACTTATTCATTTACCCCTGGCTACCGTAATCTACCATCAGTTCCAAATTTGGGAGTCTTGTCTGAGAAGAACTAGCGATACAAACTCCGACTCCGACAAGAAAAGCGAATTGCTCCCTTTGATTTTATATGTACAGGATGAACTATCTGTATCATTTGAGTTTGCAACGTGTGATCTGGATTGAGATTATATTTGGCTAATTACTGGATCTCAAGCCGGTGGTATATTCCAAACTTCATTTCTATTAAAATTCGGATGTTTTTTAAATTAGCGAAAACCGTGATAATACCGTTTAAAAGCTGTTTTATTTGTGGATAGTCCGTGTGAAAATGTAAGAAGCCAATATTATTTTGTATTAGGATGCATCAGGGTCCACCGAAGCGTGAAGAATGTCCCGTATGTCACAAGATGGTACGTGTGGATTTACAGAAGATACATTCCAGGATACACACGCAGAGGGACAGGTATTCTAAACTAAGTTATGTGTATTGTAATGCATGTCTGTCCCAGACATATATGGTATGCCTGTCCCATACATATAAGGCATGTCTTAATGTTATTTTTTTTTAAAGCAAAAAACTTAAAGAGCCCTCCATATTGAATTTAGAGTGATGTCTTTATTTTTCTAATTATTCTCAGCAAGCCCTTTTATTTGATACCCACATTGCAGAAGTGCATAAATAATAACTATTCCGCCATATTGGATTTAGTATAACATCACATTCATTTTTAGAGTTGCTCTCAACAATCCTTTTTATTTATACCCATATTGTAGAAGTGGATTAAAAATAACTATTCTGCCATCTTGAATAGTCCGCCATATTGGATTTAGAATGAAGTCACACACCTTATCATGCATTGTTATTCAAACTAAACGTATACAAAATGTCAGCTCAATCGATTGAAGACATCTACTTCAAAATTGAGTTCAAATTTCCAGCCGAACAAACATTATACACATACATTGCAAGTAAAAAAGCTTTTAAAATAATATATCTTTTTTTCTATTCCAATGAAGTCATTTTTAATTTTAATTCGACATCTTTATCACTACGTTGTATAAAACAAAGTCGCTTTCTTTGTTCCTGTATCACTATGTGTGCTTAAATCTTTAAAACTATGCAACGGATTTTGATTCGGTCTTTTTTCATAGATAGGGTGATTCAAAAGGAAGGTTTTTATGTATAATACAAGACAACGTGGGCAAAGCCACTGGCGGAAAGCTAGTATGGAATAAAACAGGGAGGAAAAGCAGCCCATGCTGAGATTCTTGCCGGTTCTTCTCAGTACAAGGTCTCTCTACATTCACAAGCACTTTTAACAGCCTAGACTGGATAAATGATATTAAATTCGAATTTACAGGTTCACATGTGCGGAATGTGATAAGTGTTTTGTAAGTCGGGCGTCTTACGAACACCATTTGAAATATACACAAGCGCATGCCGCCGTCGACATACTAAAGTAAGCTTTGTCTTAGAAAACTAAAATAAAAAATCATAATAATACAATGTGAAATAATTGAAGAAACTGATACTTAATTGTGGTTTTTTTTTTTGTAAAGATTTTATTATTATCGACAGCCGCACCTCAATAAATGTTTCCTGAATTATCTTAATTTCTTCTGAAGTCTGTGAAATTTTTTAAATAGCTTTTATTTTTATAGATCCTGATAAAACTTATGTTCTCTTAGTTGAAAGCTTACTAATCTGTAGTAATATTAAAAACAGGAAAGATTTGATTGTTTGTTTGTTTGAATCGAATAGCCTCCAAAAATACTGGACCGATTTCGTGCCCATGTTTATTGAAATGTGACGTCACATCTCGAAATGTCACTGAACTGTTTTAAGTAATAAACATTTTGGGGAAATATAAATCTGATTGTGTTTTAATATGATTATATGAAAGTACTAAGATACTTTTTCCAAAACAGTCTCCGACAGTAGTGGACTGATTTCATAAATTCTTACACCTACGGGTAACTACATTATACGGGGTTGACATAGGCTATTATTTACGCATGCGAAGTCGCGGTACAACAGCTAGTTTAAAATAAAAGAGAGTATAGTTGAAATTTTTTATTTTTGAGATACATGGGTAAATTTGCAGATATTTACTAAGTTTTGAAGCCTATATATATATACAAATATTAAAATTATATCATTCCAATAAAATTTATGTATAAAAAGGTGACTGTAATATATAGTTTTATGTATTAATACTACATTTTATTCATAGGTATAAATGTTCTATGTGCGATAAGGGCTATCGTTCGCGAGGGGAGTTAAGAGACCACATGAACTACCAACATATGGGCAAGACACAACACAAATGTCCAATATGTGGAAAAGTGAGTATCTAGTTAATAGCGCATCAAGTAATATTATAGGGTTAAAAAACAAAAAAAACTAAAGATAATGTAACTAGTACAAGTTTAAACTTAAGAGTACTCAATGCGTTTAAATTTGACGTTCCGGGACTTCTTAATAATCCCGGAGATTGTCCGGGACTTTGTCTTAAATATATGTCTATAGTGTAAGCTTCCTTGCTATGTGTAATTTTACCTTTCGCAATGAATTTAAGTATTTACTATATAAAATTTGTGTTTTAATATTTTTTATTAATTAATTGTTAATATATAATATAGTATGTCTCAAATGTTATAATAACATTTAAACCCCGTCGTATTTTGCTATCTCAAGGCCGCCATCGTTATGTAATCTCAGTTCAGTATTTAAAGATTTTATCTGTAAAATGTAGTATCGTAAATAGAGAATCGGCTGCTTTGCAGTTATAATAAAAAAATATATATGTTGGAAATTTTATCTTGCTATTTATAAGCAGTGGATCACAGTAACCGAAACGCCGGCCATAACGTGGCATCGTGTGACGTCACATTTCAATAAAAGTCGATGTCTTTGTGGCGAGTGCAACCAGTGCCCATGTTTATTGAAATGTGACGTCACGTCTCATAATGTCACATATATGCTTTCCTTTATTTAATAACGGTTTGGAGAAAAATCAATCTGAAGGTCGTTTTATTTGATCATATTTAAAATACTTATCCCAAAACAGTGAAGTAGCCAATTATCTATCCATATATATACATATATAATTTATTAACATGATATTGTAAGCCTAATGAAAGTGCTTTTTCTTAAAACTACATAGTTTAAAAAGGCTCCTTCAATGTTTCAAAAAAAGATTTTTTTTTTTTTTTCTTATAACAGGCGTTAGCGACTCGTCGGTGTATAACGCGTCATGTGCGAAGAGCACACGATGGTGTGAAAGAGAACGCTAGAGACAAGATCTGCCAACAGTGCGGCAAAGCATTCCGGGTGAGAATCTATACTAATACTAATATTAAGAGGAAAGATCTGTTTTTTTGCACTGAGTGGGCTCCGAAATTAATGGACCGATTTTTAAAATTCTTTCACTTAGAGGAAACAAGGTTTCTGTTGTACATGTACTTATAAATATTGAAAAATAAAAATACTTTTTCTTACAATAATTTGGAAAATGTTACTCTTTGAAAATTTGAAAATAATGGCCGATATTTTGGTTTCTTTTTAATGTCTTTTTTATATATTAATTTACAGGATAAAAAGGGTTTGCGCGAACACGAATTTATACATACGGGCGAACGTCCTCTGTCTTGCGAAATATGCGGATGTACATTCAGACAGAGCGCTTCTCTATATACACATAAGAAGAGGGTACACAAGATATTCCCGAGCAAGAAAAACGTCACCCTACTTGAAAATGTGACGTAGTTGCGAAAAACAAAGTTCAACGCCATCTAGCAACAGCTGTTGGAACCTAGCGAAAAAATGTGTACAACATGTGTTGGAACTAAGTGAGAAATAAGTACAACGCCATCCAGTGACAGTTGATTGAATTTATGTAGACTTTGGTTAAAATAAAAGATGTCTGTGAAGAAACGTTTTGGGTTTTATTAGTTTGTGTTATTAAATCTCAAACTTTGTCATACAAATAGATTATAAATATAAATGAATATTCACCTAAATTTCACTTAAGCTATATTACTAGTGACGACTTTATAAAAATATGACGCTTACGCATTAAAAGGCCATATTGGATGTAAAATAAGATATGAGTGTGGAAGAATGTTAATATGATAACCAATCTTTATACAAACTATACTAATATTACTTTAAATAAATAATAACACAACATACTTTTGTGTGTACTGTTTATAAATAATTAATTACATTTAATATATTATAATACTAACACAAAACATTGTATTGAAATTGACACTTGTATGTGAAACAAATAAGTACACCACTGTGAAACGGCCATCTTGGTTTATATGTTTGTATTACGCTTCAACTTCAGGATGCAAGGTGTGCGAAAAGGAAGGAAAACTTTGATGACGATTCAATCATAACACGGATATACATAATCAATGACAAATTGAATATTAAACAATGGCTAATATAGTACCCTACACAAACTTCCACTCCCATTTTCAATACTTAATTTACTGTTTTACAGGATAAATATGGCCTATGTCCACCGCATATTATGTATCTTCCTGTAGTTTTGGAGCTGATTCGTTGCAAACATACAATCAAATCTTTTCTTTTTATAATATAAGTATACATTGCGGTACAATATAAGTAGGGGAGACCTAGGTGAGTTGTGACAGAGGTGAGTTGTGACAAGGAGGATTTCTCTCTACGTATTATAGTAAGCGAGATGGCATTAACGCTTGTTTGTCGTTCTCGACACGCGCTACATGACTCAGTACCTGTCGACGGTGCATGTGGCACAGTTGCGTAAATATATCATCAGTGTACAAAAAATTACGAAAAGTAAGTTTTTCTTCAAAATATTATTTGAATATATATCATATCTTGGTATATGTGCATTGATGTGTTATTTTTTCTTAAGTTATGTAGTTATTTAAGTCTCAATACGTGGCACTGATTTTTTGTATGCACATCGTGTTTAGAAAATATGAATTATTATTCGGACCAAGACGTCATTTTGAACACCTAGGTGAGTTGTGACAGCCTGTCACAACTCTCCTATCTTACTCCATATTTCTGCTGGGCTATTTTTACAATTTTTTTTATTAACTTTAGATGTTTGTTGGTGTGTTAGTTAGTAGCTACTTAAGGTGTATAATGGCATACCGCATACTTATTTTTTTTGAGAATGCCGAATAACTATACACTAGAGACTGAAAATCTAAGAATGTTAAGAAGCGTGTTTTAAGCGAAGAAAAAAAGAAACCTAAAAAAGCAAAGAAGACTAATAAAAAGAATAGAACAAGTGATGAAGAAAATAATTGCTTTTATTTGGTTTGCCTTGAAGCCTATGCAGACAGCAGATCGAATGATCAGTGGGTCCAAATCCTGGAATGCAAAGGCTAGGCACACGTAGATTGTACTGCGGACGAGCTGCATTACGTTTTGCATAATTGTGAATCTGAGTAGATTAAGATTTTATACTGATTATAACAATAATATGATTGATCTGAAAGCGATACCATATTTAGTTAATGAAAATATTATAATTACTTGTTATGAGAATATTAATACTATGTTGTTTTAGTTGGTAGGTATTAAAAGATGATTAATCAAATCAAATCAATCTTTACTGTTGATCGCAGGTTATATAAAGATATTGGATGCAAGGACTGAATAGTTACACCGTGATCTGCCTAATAGGCATACAATATTAGTAGGTTAGTAATTGTCAACTAATCTAATCAATAACATGTTATGTCAAAAATTTAATTAATTCATTAAGTATTTATACATTTACAAAGTACTGTCAGCTAGATACTCGTTTACACTATAATATACTTTAGCTACTAATAATTTACAAAGTTTTCTTTTAAAAACATTACAATTATTCAGATTACGTATTGTTTTTGGAATTTTATCAAAAATTTTTGGAGCCATACAAAAGATACTTTTGTTCAACAGAGCTGTCTTAGAGGGTATCGTACGTAATCTCGTCTTATTTTCAAATAGTTGTTGATTCTGTTTGACAAAAATACCAACTTCGTATACCGCGTGTTACAAAAAAACCCGTTACCCCGAAAATGGCATTGAGTATACATAAAACTGAGATAATGAACGCTGTCCTTTATATCGTAGCCATTGTATTTATTGAAAAAAACAATATCGAAGTTTAGCAAAATTTTCGATACCATTTATCGAAGCACACCGACATTATGATCAGCTGTTTCAGTTCATTGACTTCTAAATCAAAGACTATTTTTTTGCCAGACTGGTTATATCTACTGGTATTTAGTGCCTACGTCACAGTACAGCGAAATAATTTTTCTAGTTATGTGTACATACGCAAATATTCGAACATGCAAAATATTACACGAAAACATTATTTTAAAACTATTTCCAAAATTCGTTTTTATTCAGATTAGAGCTCCCTTTCCAATATACCTTGCCATATTACTATGTCCGTGCTACGCACATATCAGGCACGGAAACAAACAATAAACAGTACGCTATAGTCACTGCACTGGATTAATTACTTTCGCCTGAAATGCTCGTACAATATCTCTTTACGAACTGTAGACGGCCCATCCAAAATAATAATCTTTATAATTAATGCTACGACACGTCACTCAATAATGTACTCATAAAATCAATTTCATCTAATCTAAACAAATAGAGAAGCAGAGGAAGAAGAAATATCGCGACCTCTAGATAAGTAGAATATTCGTTATTGCACGAACAATTTTTTTTCATAATTAGGTAGTTTCATTTTTATGAAAATAATTACAATATTATGAAAGTAGGCGACGTATATCACTGAGTGTCTTCCAGGTAACTTTGTCTATCTGTAGCTGCTTCATCTTTGAACCAGAATTTTTACACATCGTGTCTTTAAATCATGATAACCTGGTACTCGTACCTACAATCTTCTGTTACGAAAGTAAACCTAATATGACGTCAGCGCAGATACAGTCGGGGAATAAATTGAAACATTGATCAATATTCGTGTACATATTTCAATTGTGTTTATGGTCAATTTATTTCTTTTCTAATATTTTACAATAAAAAGATCAGACTTAAAATGGAATATGAACCTTAATCGGGAATATGATCATTCCCGATTATGGTTTCAACCACTACTCTTACTACATGTAAATTGTTTCAAGTAAAATGGATTGCTACCTTAGAGTTAATGATATGCACTACACTTAGGTATCTCAAAAGCGTCTGACAAGAAAAAATGTCGACAAAGAGCCGCTTTCTGAATTGAGAAAAGTACAAAATCTCAACTGAATATTCTCAATAACTGAAGTTTTTTTATATTTCACTAGTCAAAAGTCCTAGTTTTATCAAACTGCTAACAACTAATTATAAAAAAAAAACCGGCCACGTGAGAGTTGGACTCGCGCAGGAAGGGTTGTATCCGGTGCTAAGAAATAACTTCATTAGCTTACCTCTTAAAAATATTTTTTATTGTTTAGGTATTAAAATACGTAAGACAAATCAATACATAATCGGTAAAATCGAGCCTAAAACAAATTCACTTATTCCCCCGAGTGTACAATGACGTAAGATAGAGATAGAGAGGGAGGGAAAGAGAGAGAGAGAAAGAAACGAAATATTATCGTTCGTGTTTGTGTGATGTCGCGCGCGAGTGACTACTTGACGCTAGATACGGTAGTAGTAAACATTTGGTACGGATTTTAATTTATTATCTATTTTATTACTGTGGGCTATTCAACTGAATTTTAGAATCAGAGTATAGGATTCACTCTTTTAATGCTTTAAAAAATGAAAATGAATGAGACGTTTTATTATGTACTGTTTACCTATTTCCTTAAATAGAAAAAGCCCTAAAACGACCGACACAGCTAACAAACAAATGGTCATTTATTTGAAAAATAGTTCAAAATAGAAAAGGTGTATAAAATGAATTAAAATTTTAAACAGGTATGTCGATTGTATGCAGATTACTACGGCCCACGAAATACATTAATTTATTTATTTAACGATGTCTTATGATAGTCGATGCTACTTCCTCTCTACAGACTGAGCCAAGCATGCTCGTTTGCAGGTGCAGCGTGAAAGTATATCACATTTCTCACTTAAACTAGTCTTTACCCAAACATTAACAACGTTTAAATTTGTAAATACTAAAAATACAACCATGTACTATCTTATCAACAACAATAAAAATTTACAAAATCTTTGTCAATTAACAATTCCTAATACGTAACGTTCATAATACGTAACGTATTATGTACTTACGTACATATGTAAAAAAATTAGTTGCAACAATGTCCTGCGACGATTTTTTTAATTTGTACAATAAAATGTTGATTACCTCGGTACTAGGCAACTAGAAGTTTAGGCTCAAACTTTAACATTGCCGCCTGTCTAGGGTTGTCATCTATCCGTCTTTAGCGGGACATGTTTGACTTTTTAGATTGTGTGCAGCTAAATGTTAATGTCACATGTCCGGCGGTATAGTTTTCATAGGTTTTTGGTATACCTGTGCCGAAGCTATATCAAATAAACTATGAATACACACAAATTCGAAAAACGTCAAATACCCAAATACCCAAAAAGACGCAGTGTTGCACGGGCATTTGCGAAATTTGAATACAAATCGTTAGTTTGTTTGCATCGTATAGTCTCCGAAATTACTTTATAAAAAAAACTTTTTTCAAAATAGGTTGTGCAGTTTTGATGTTACGATCAAGCCTTATTTTATGAATTCACGTTTTGGCTGTGATAAAAGCGTTAAAATTATGATGTAGTTATCTTATCTTTAATTACCGCTTATTTGTATGTTACGTCTTACTACAAAATCAATTGAAAGTTAGTGATTTTTGCTTAACGCACCCTCTGAATAACTAGGCAGTAACCCTCGCGAAGCCGTGAACTAATATTACTGTCTACTACGGTAATATTGTTTTACGGCTTCGCGAGAGATTTGACTTAGTCCGGCTTTAAGGACAAAATTTCCGATCTAATAAGAGAAGATGGCAACCCTATCTCGCTACTTCTCAGATTTAATTGCGGAACTATAGGTACCTTTCTGTGCGCCTT